TCTCGCTTAAAAAATTGATGAAACTCACTCGTATAAGGAATGATATGCATTTGAATTATAATTTTTTGGATTTCATGTGAATTTTGTAGCATTGCTCTATAATTATTAGGGATAATTGTAGTTGCTAATCAAAAGGATTAGAAGATAAATAAATGATAATTTGATGATATAGACTGCATATGTACCTACCTAGACTTTTTCCCAAAGTGGTGGTGGACCGGTGGTGATGATAGTGGCAATGTGTTTAAATTGTAACAGCACCTAAGATGACAGAAGCGATGATAATTAATGGGGGTGCCCGCAGTGAATAGAGGGTGTACCGTACAGGACAAAAAAAGAAAAGAATTCAATTAAGATTGAATATAAATTAAATGAATTTAAATACGACATAATCTATATAATATAATTTAAATTTTAAAAGATCAATAAAATAATTTTTGATTTTTATAATTGAGATCTCTTTAAATTTTACTCTAAAGTTAATCTGACAACTAATATCAACACCTCAAATTTAATAGAGAAAATAGTTGGGTGATTTTTTAAAAATATTTCTAAAACTTATAATTACTTATGAATACTTAAAAAAAAATTAGTATTTGAAATCACTCTACCACTACCACTCCCACTGCCCCACCACCATCACTACTATCACGCTGCCACCTTATCACCACCTCCACCACTGTCGTTGTCACCACCACACCAATCGCTCCACCACTGTTGTTGCTACCCTACCATCATCATCGTCATCGCTGTCACCGTCGCCACCATTACTGTCGTCATCCCCCCCACCCCATCATCATCGATTGTTATTATCGTCGTCCACCGCTATCACCCACCACAATTTTCATCTCATTCTTATATTTATTATCATTATCACCGTCGTCCACCGTCAACACCTACTACTACTATTATTGCTCACCACCACCCATCGCTGTTCACTATCACAACCCATCATTATCCATCATCGTCGCCGGTCACCGTCATCCACCCTTATCAAACTTACCACCACCCATCATTGTCCACCATCACCGTCAATCACTATCACCCACCTCCATCAACTTACCACCACCAATCGTCATTACCCACTATTGTCGTCATCCCTTCCACACTACCACCACCACCACCACATTTCTTTTTCTCTGATCTCGGACTTGTCTACTTGACTTGTGAAATTCGTTTCTCATCTAGCTTCTCTCCCACTACTTAACCTTATTTCTTATTATTTTAGTATTTTAGACTGAACGGACTATTTACCACAACTCATCATATTATCGTCCAGAAGTATCTGTCGTCGCCCATCACCTCCATCATCACTATCCACTACCACAATCCACCACCGTCGTCACCCCACCACCATTGTCAACCACCATCACCGTCACCCGCAACCATTACCGCCATCACCCATGACTGTCACTACCACCATCATCATCAAAAATCCACCACCAGCATCACCATTGCCACCTATGACCGCCATCATCACCACGGTCGTTGCCACCCACCACAACCATTACCATCTCCTACCACCACCACTACCACTATTCATCATCACTACAATTAGTGCTTAAATTCTTTTCTTTACTCTATGTTTGTAATTTGATTTTAGGTGTGAATATAAATATATTTATTGTTAACAATTTTTTTATTATTCTGTGCCTTTAGGCATAGACAATAACTAATTTTTATATATAATATGTAAATCAAACCCCGCCACCAATTGTATAACATCCAATTCTTTGCCTCCACTCCAATGAATAATTCATAATAATAATGTCAATTTGGACCGAGGAAGCAAACAAAAGGTCAAATTTTTTGTTAGATTTTCGAGAGAGATGTCACACACAATAAAGCCAAATCAAATATTTTTTGAGTTTAATTATGATTGAAACTCATTGTTGGAAGAAGTGGTGGAAGCTTAACATTTTTTTCAGTGCAAATCTAATTTCATTATAGATCTATATTTATTATAGTTTACAATAATTTCATTATGGATCTATATTTATTACAATTTATAATAAATATAATTAAATATAAATAACGGTAGAATTTTGGAGTGGGTTGCCTATCCTATACCCAAATCACCTAATAGGTCAAAAAAAGGTGCACAACAGCCCAAGAAATTCTCTAACAACCCATATATTCCGTAATAAGGAATGAACCATAATCCAAAGGAAGAAGTCCAATAGAAAAGTCCAGCTCGACATAACCTTACTTGATCATAACAAACTCAGGGTTAAGCAACTCAAGATCAAGGAGCTCGGTACTCACCAAACCCCAAATGCCCCACTTCGCGCCACGTGTCTAGGGGACCACTTCTAAAACCTCTAATGAACGTGTACTCTCTTGCAAAGAGAATATTTGTGCATGTAACTTCCCAAAGATCGTGGATATAGTGGCTTTGTATGACAGATGTCACTAAAGGATAAAGGAAGAGAAGACCACAAAATCAGCAAAAAGAAAGAGGAAGTCGCAAGAAATCCTAAAAGGATTACCTGTATAAATAAAACATCAAGACATAATGTAAAACCTACCTGAAAAACCTATATTCGTTAGGGGTGCAACTCGGACGGGTTGGACGGGTTGAAAGGTCAACCCTAGCTTAACTCTAGATATATAATCTTCAACTCTAACCCTAACCTTACCTCAACTCAAGTACTGTCATTCGGGCATACTCTGATAATTCGAGTTAAAAATTAGGTTGAATTTGAGTTACTTTATTCGGGTAAATTTTTTGAAGTGTAGATTTGAGTGTAGATCTGATTTTTTCAACTGATCTGAGATGAAGGACAAGATGCAAATGAAGAGAGAGAAAGTGAGAGAAGAAGGAGTGAGTCTGAGACGACTCAGACAAGTGATGATTGAGAGAGGGAGGCTGAGAAAGTGAGGAACGACAAGTGAAAGAGGAATCTGAGAATAATGAAGGTGCAGGGGTGATGACTTGATGTGAAGTGAAAGTCTAGATTCTAAAGAGTGAAGATAAATATTAACCCTAATTAAATATATTTATATATTTATGTATATTTGGGTTGAACCCGACAAACCGAGACCTCAACCTGAGGCTTACCCAAATTCAATTTGGGTTGGAGTTGTTTTGTCCATGCCTAATCTAAGTATTAAAAATTCTAATTCAAACCCTTTTTTTGGGTTGAATTCGGATTGACCCGTCTAAGTTGCATTCCTAATATTCATAAGGTATTGTTCAAAGAAGCTCTAAGCTAGAAAAACTCAATGTAACCTTTTTCTTCAAATAATATAGACCTTACGGGGCAAGAGCCTCAATTACAATGGACATAGCTCTAGTATTACAATTAGAGTGAACCACTTATATATTGATTCTCATTCTCACAACTTGATCCACTGTCAACTCATATATTCACATTACCCCCTCTTTAGACCATCAAGTCATTGTTTTGAATTTGGGCTAAACATTTTCGAGCACTATCAAATATAAAACAAAACAAACAATTTTGAACAAATAATAAAAAGAAGTTTTTTTTTTTGTAAACATAGGGTGCGTTTGGTAATGTTTTCGTTTTTATGTTTTTTTTTAATAAAAAAAACAGAACTAAGTTTTGTTTAGTTTGTGATAAAAATTAAAAATATAAAACATGTTTGGAAGTCCTTTATATTTTTGAAAATTTGTAAAAATAAAAATAAAAATAAAAAACTTGTTTAGTATTATATCAAAAATTCACTACCCAAACCCTCACCACTCAACCCCCACTGGCCATCTAAAACCCACCACTCAACTCCACTGGCCACCCAACCCCACCATTTTTTTTCTTTTAAAAGAAAGAGAAATTTTATTTCATCAATTCAAAGAATTACAAGAATCAAAAGAATTTAAAGCCTAATATGGCTTTAATCCTTCAAAACAAATCCAAAAAATTACAAAGAATGATAATGGGGATATAGACTTTGACAGACCAAAGTCTTCTTCCTTCTTACTACTAGCAGACCCAACTGAACAAATCCATAACAAGACTTCTTCCTCCTTATTACTGGCAGACCCAACTGAAATCCACAACCCAAACAAATCTATAACAAACACAAATAAATCTCCACTGACCACCCAAAACCACCACTGAAACTCACAAACTCAACCCCACCATTGAAACCCACAAATTTATGTATATATACATAGATTTATGAATATGACAAACATAAACAGTTCAATAAAACAAAAAATTCACCAAGGGGTTAGAGAGAAAAAGAGATCGATGGAGATGGAGATGGAAAGAGTAAAAAATCTGAAAAATTAGTACTTCCATCACTAGAGCTTCCTTCGCTGGAGTTTCGTCATTCGCTTAAGTTTACTTTGTCTGGAGTGGCTTCGCAAGAGAGAGCCGAATGAAAGAAGCACAAGAGAAAGACGAATGAGAGAAGCAAAAACGAGGAAAAAAGTTTTTTTTATACTTGGAACAAAAAGAATAGTTTTTATGCTGTTAATGGGGTTTGAAGACAAGACCTTATTAATTGAGGCTGAAGGATGCACATGTGTTACATTTTTTTCTGATTTTTGAAAGCACCTAAATAGTTGTTTTAAAAAACAGGGGTTGTTAACAAAATAGATTGACAAAAAAGAAAAACACACACACACACTCCAAACATGTTTTTTTTTTGGAAAAAAAAAAAAAAAACATAAACAACTTGTTATTAAACGGGCCCATAATAAAAAGAAGTTATTTAATAAACAATTTATAAAAAAAATCTCCATCTAGCCGTTGGATTTTACATTTTGATATCCAACGAACAGACGGGCTTGCTCTGCTCCCACGAAAGGCATCGCCTTTTCCTGATTAATAATAATAAGCGATCATGGTTAGAAATTATCATGCTTAAAAACCTGGCAACACCCAATTGGCCCTACCTGGCAATCAGATTCCCCAGATGAACGAATATAAGTCAACTATGGTCCACCTGAAAGTGGGCCCTATCTGAGCTGGCAGAGCATAACTCGCTCTGACCGTCCAGTCCTGCCCCCGTTCCACCCCTTCCCCACTTGAGCATCTCTCGGACCTCACCATTGTCTTCCTCCTGTGTTATCCTTTACACCAAAACACAACAGTTGAGAATGGTGGCCTGTTCTAGTCCTTCATTAATCCCTTCTTTATCTCTCCATTAATTCCTTCTTCATTTCTATTCTCTATACATTAAATACACTCTCTCTCTCACTCTCTCACTACACATCAGTTGTTCACATCTGGTATAGCATTTTCTAGTGGTGTTACCATGCCGGGTTTGGTCTCAGTGAAAACTCCACCGGAAGCACCGCCGTTGCGCATCACAGTTCCCGATGAAAATCAACCCCAGATCCGACCCAATACAGACAGATCCGAACCAGTAAACCCAAAAACGACGTCGCCAGCTCCTCGCCGACCTCCCTCACCCTCGCCATCTACTTCACGTGCCAAACCATCACCAGATCGGAGCTCTGGCAAGAAAAAATCCCCGGAAAAAGTATTACTTGCCGATGAATCATCGCTCGACAACCCCGATCTCGGTCCGTTCCTCCTAAAACTCGCACGTGACACAATTGCCTCCGGCGATGGGCCCGCCAAGGCCTTGGACTACGCGCTTCGAGCCTCCAAATCTTTTGAGCGATGCGCTGTGGTTAATGAGCCGAGCTTGGACTTGGCGATGAGTTTGCACGTTGTAGCGGCGATTTATTGCAGTTTGGGGAGGTTGGAGGAGGCGATTCCGGTGCTCGAGAGAGCAATTGGGGTTCCGGATGTGTCGAGAGGTGCGGATCACGCGCTCGCCGCTTTTTCGGGGTATATGCAGCTCGGTGACACGCATTCGATGCTTGGACAGCTGGATCGGTCGATTGAGTGTTATAAAGAGGGTCTCAAGATACAGATGGAGGCTTTGGGGGATACGGATCCCAGAGTTGCTGAGACATGCAGGTGAAATTTAAGTGTCCATTCTACTGCTTGTTTTTGTCTCTTGAACATGTTGGGGTGTAATTTTTTTTATTTTTTATTTTGCTGTGTTTTAGATGCTGTTATGGTGTTGATCAAGTGAGAATTATGGTGGGAATTAGTGGGAGAAAGTGATGTGGATCTGAGTAGAATTAGTGTGAAAGCAAACAGAGTCCTACGTTACACAGGTTTTTGTGATCGGAAAATTTTGATATTTATATGTTGATAATTGACTGATAACACGCAGCAAATAACATTTCCAGAACGAAAGGACAAAGGGCTTAAATATTTTGTTGGAATTCCAACGATTCATTGCATTTAATGTAGTATTTGAACTTTCAAGCCAACAACTTATACGTTTGATGAAGAAGTTGGCAGCCTTTGCATTTTATGATGCGTAAATTTTGAAATCTGTCAACCAGAATGCTTAGAAATTAGAATGTGATCCATTTAATTTTCCTGTCAAGAAAGGGTGATCCACTTGATGCATATGCTCATACCACTCGTTGTTGTGATGAGTCTTGACTCTGATTTCCTGTTTCCTTCTGAGGTTGCATTATGTTTTTCTGCAACTCCTGTAATGCTATTTAGGAGAATGCTGTAACTGATGCCACCATAAAGGTTGCTAGATTTGTTTGTTCCAATTGCTGTGTTTGCCTAGCTATTATTTAAGGTCTTTCAGGATTCTAGATGTCCAACTCCAAACCAATGAAGATCTAAGCTTGGTCAAGGTTTGGGATAGCATCTGCGAAGTGCTTTGCTACTTATTTGGGAACATAAAATAGAAATAGTGACCTAATTTTGATGTTTCTCCATTGTAATTGCTTCATAATTGCTGATACTGGGAAAATTGTGCCAATAGATTTCACAGTGTAAGCTTAAGAGTAAAATCAAGTTCCTAAAGAGTGGAAAACAAGTTCTCACTGGCCTGCATTGTTCCATCAATATATCAACTTTAGACCATTATTTATGTATGAATTCCTGATGGTTTTTCCCCTCCCCATCTGTGCACTTGACATTACTCTCTCCTCCTCTGGACTTGTGAATGGCAAGTGGCAATGCAAAATTTGAAGTCTGATGTTTGATGTATATCACTTCTTTTGCAAGATATTGTGCATCGTAGATTTCAATCAAAACCCTGATTTCCTCCACTCCACATCAAACACCTTCTACTGTGTTTTTGAACTTATATTTCCCTGGGGAGATCATGGCTACACTTTATAAGTAGTACTCTAAAATTGTGAATGCACTTAATTTTAACCACCTACATTGTTCATTGCAGGTACTTGGCTGAGGCTCATGTTCAAGCAATGCAATTTGATGAAGCTGAAAACTTGTGCAAGAGAACCCTTGAAATCCACCGTGTACACAGTCCACCGGCATCTTTAGAAGAAGCAGCTGATCGCCGATTGATGGCCCTCATATGTGAGGCTAAAGGAGATTATGAATCAGCCCTCGAACACCTTGTACTTGCCAGCATGGTGATGATATCCAATGGGCAAGACAATGAGGTTGCGGCTATTGATGTTAGCATCGGAAACATCTACTTGTCCCTGTCCCGCTTTGATGAGGCTGTCTTTTCCTACCAGAAAGCGCTCACTGTCTTCAAATCATCAAAAGGTGATAATCATCCTTCAGTTGCTTCTGTTTTTGTACGGCTTGCTGACCTATACTACAAGACAGGAAAGCTTCGTGAATCCAGATCCTATTGTGAAAATGCCCTTAGAATTTATGCAAAACCTGTGCCTGGAACCACTGCAGAAGAGATTGCGAGTGGGATGACTGAAGTTTCGGCTATTTATGAATCTTTCAATGAGCCTGATGAGGCTTTGAAACTGTTGCAGAAGGCAATGAAATTGTTGGAGGATAAACCAGGGCAGCAAGGTACAATTGCAGGAATAGAAGCACGGATGGGAGTGATGTTTTACATGGTTGGGAGGTATGAGGAAGCACGGGGCTCTTTTGAGAGTGCTGTATTAAAACTTAGGGCCAGTGGTGAGAGAAAATCAGCCTTCTTTGGGGTCGTGTTGAACCAAATGGGATTGGCTTGTGTACAGTTGTTCAAGATAGATGAGGCTGCTGAGCTGTTTGAAGAAGCAAGGGCAATTCTGGAGCAGGAATGCGGCCCATGTCATCAAGATACCCTTGGAGTATACAGCAATCTTGCAGCGACTTATGATGCTCTGGGAAGGTAATATATATTCGTAGCTTCATTACATGGATTTTTGCTTGAGCTCTTATTGATTGAATGTTATCTCTAAGTTTTCTAGAATAGTAATTGATTAAGTCCTATGGTGTCCCCCCCCCCCCCCCCCCCAACAACAACACCCCACGGGCCAACCTAAAAATAAATAAATAAAAGAGAAAAAGAAGAGGCTCCAACAACTGGCAGGTCTGCAATCACTACCCAGGCCTTAAAACAGGCTGTGCAGATCCCCTAACCTGCTACTAAGAAGAAATCAGATAACTGGCTATTGAACATTTTTCAGAAACTGTTAGATAGAGGAAATCAGATAACTGGCTATCGAACATTAGTTCTCAAAAATTGTTCAGGTTTCTCTCAAAGCATATTTTCATGCAATAGCTGTAGACATTTCTGAATTCCGAAGGCAGAAAATTAGGATCTCAGCATTGGACAAATGCTACAGTTTTTGAGAATTTAAATTATATGTTTTAGGTTGAATGTGGGGATGTGGATGGTATATGTTCACATCCTAACCTAACTTTTTGATGAAGTATGGGGATGTTAATTCTTGTTGGTTCTCTCTATGCTCTTGATGCTTAGATTTGAGATTCGTCACTAAATGCATGCATGAAAATTGCAGAGTTGAAGATGCGATTGAAATTTTGGAGTATGTTCTCAAACTGAGAGAAGAAAAGCTTGGAACAGCAAATCCTGATTTTGACGATGAGAAGAAAAGGCTAGTTGAACTCCTAAAAGAAGCTGGTAGGTCTCGAAACAAAAATGCAAAATCACTTGAGAACCTCATTGACCCCAATTCCAAAAGGACGAAGAAAGAGGCATCAAAAAAGTGGTCTGCCTTTGGTTTTAGAAGTTGATTAAGGATATTTTTTCCCCATTTATCTCTAATACCTCCTACATGCATATTCTGTAACATAGAGGATTGTGTATAGGGTTAACTTTGAATCTGGTGAGGCTTCTTGTTTCTTGGGCTTTCCAACCTCCTTTGTCATTTGTTTCTGTTGATTGTTTTATTGGTTCTCTGTATGTGATCATGAAGATGTTCACTAACAGAAGTTTTTTTTCCTCAACTTTTTCGTATTAAGCAAAAGAGTCTTTCACTTGAGTGAATAAATTTGTATGACATGGTTGTTGGCTGTCCTCATAGTTGTTACCCTTTGTTAGATCACCATCAAATGTCCTAAAAGTTTAAACGTTTGAGTTGTTAAAGAATGATGTAACAAAAACTTTTGATATATTGTAGTTGTAATTTATAAAATTTAATTTTTAAGAGTACAAAGTGAAAATTTTGAAATTTTGTAAGGTACAAAGTATAATTCTCCCTAATTTTCAAGTTAAATTGGTAATGGTGTAAGCAAAATTTGGTTAGAAATGCAAACGGGGGCTGTAGAATTCGAAATTGAGGGATTAAACTTTATGTATTTCATTCAATAATTTCATCGAACATATTGTGTATAGTGTATAGGACTTTGGAAGTAATTACCTACTGTATTTTAATAAACTTGTTACAATAGAACTTGCATTTAAATACAACTCAATTAACTATTTTCTGTTAGGAAGCAACCACTCTCTAGCATTGCATTCCTCCACATGATTTGACTTTTTTGACTTGTCCACCCCGAGAATATCTGATTCAACCGGGGCTGACCCAAGCTTGTTTCATGATCAGAAACTGAACTAAAATTAGAGATCGGATGCCACTCTAATTTAGAGAAATGAATTTAGACATAATCTTATGGCTCGATAAAGGAAGTAATTAATTAGAAAATACAAACCAAAACCGGTCTACCAACGGGAGCTCAAAGTCACGTCACGAGGGAATCGGCCGAGCTCCGCTTGCATTACGGTTATGATGAGAACCGGTACGGATCGAGCAAAAGGACGGTTATAGGGGTTTTCTGAGTCGGATTCGAAATCTCTATGAATCGATTTCTTCAGTTTTCTCCACTCAACAATTGAACCTCCAATTTCCAGAGTTCTACACCTATCTCCTTCATTCGACTCTATTTGGAGTGGATCTAAGCTTGAAACTCCGTTTTTTGAAGGTTCGGTAATTGCGTTTCAGCAATATTAGGTCTATTTTCCATTACATATTGCTCTTATATCTATCTATCTATCTATCTACATATGTTAATATGTTGCTTTAAGTTTTTTCGGAGAAAATTATTTGATAGATTGATTTAGGTCACGTTTTGACAAAAATGTTTTTCTTTTACAGGATTTATGTTTAGGGTTTTTGCTGTTTTGAGTGATATATTCGAGTTCATCATTTTGATTTGATAGGGAAACATGGATGGGGATGTACCTAATATAAAGAAGTGGATTGTATTGTACCCTATTTACATAAATTCAAAGAAAACAATAGCTGAGGGCCGGCGGGTTAACGCTTTCAAAGGTTGTGAAAACCCGAGTTGCGCTGAGATTGGTGATTGCTGTGGCCACCTCAAACTGCCTTTTGCAATTGAGGTCTGTTTTCATCGTTCAATTTAACTTGTTTCAATGGATAAATTCGTTTTGAATGTGTTAATATGATTGGAAATGTGCTTCTGTGACTTGTGTTAGATTGATAAGGCATATCCACGTGATTTTATGCAAAGAGGGAGAGTGAGGGTTTTGCTGAAAAAGGAAGACGGGACTCTATACAATCCGGCCATATCCTCCAGTAAGTAGAGTCGTACACATGCCTATCTCAAAGTTTTTTTGTTCTTAGTTTTCCTTCCGTTGTCTGGATGCATGATCAGGAAATGTATTTTTCTTAGCTTGCTGAATCTTTTGCAAATTGCCTGCATATAATAATTTGTCTAAATTTCGAAATTAAGGTGTGTGTGTGTGAAAGCATAACATTTGAGATAATCATCCACATCATGATCCTGAGGTTTTTAAAAATTGTAGGGTGAGGAGAGAGAGGGAGAGATGGTTAAGATGGGTGGTTACATTTCTGTTTTTGGGAGAACAGAAATCTTAAATTAGTAGATGATGAGCAAGGGACACCAGGAGACTTTGATAGATTAGTGTTGTACCGACCAATTAGGGCTTGTTTTGATGGATTTTTGGAGAAGGTTTGAATTGACTTATCTAAGCTCTTCCAAACCGAAATCCCTCTTTACAAAGATGAGATTCAACATTGAATCCGGTCTATACCCATATTTGATATGCAACACATACACATGTAAGACTCACGGATATATCATAATTATTAACAATTATTTGTCTTGTAAATGACTATTTTACCCTTGATCAATCCAATTCATACTCATGTTAAGGGGTACAATTGTTTTTGCATCCTTAATTCCTTAACCCATCTTCCCAAATCCACTCATCTCCTAGGTTTGACGAAAATCATGATCATGAGTTTAATATTTGGGCGGTTGCCGGCTGAGTTTAGGAACCCAGGATTGAATTTTCGATCCAAACACAAAGTTTGGGGGTCTTTTGGACTATTTTTCCCAGATTTATCTTACCAAACCCTTTTACCAAACAACCCCTTAGAGACCTACTTGCACTGCATAACTCTGCCGTGGGATTGATGAATCCATGCTTATGGTGGAGGGAATCATTTAACAGTTCTGCATTGCTGTGCAATATATCCTACTTCTCTAGTAATCAGCTAGTCATGGAACTTTTGTAGAAGATGATCAATTCCCAACTGAGTTTGATTTTTGTTTCAGCCCATCTTTTAAAACTAATCGTGTCTTTCTTCACACTGGCTTTGTTTACTGACATTGGGACTATATTGTAGGGAAACAGCTGATGCTCCATATTGTAGAGTTGGTTCTGAGACACCCAGGGAGGACTAAGAAACAAGAGCCTACATCCGCCTTGACTGCTGGACCTTCAAAATTTGGGAAGGCCAGAAAAAAGAAGAGATAGATTCAGTATTGCAAATGATGATTGTAGCTTTTCTTTTGAACGATTGACAATCTTGTTGAGCATGCACGGATTCTTTTAATTTCTTTTGCCCTTTGTCTTGGTAGTCATATTCTATACGCTAGGCAAGTGTTGTGAAATCCAATATCCAACTCCTCTCCTCCGTCTACACAAGCCCTGATCCCTTTCAGCGTAAAATGTGATGAGCAATGCTCTTTTGTGGATCCAAACATGGAATATAAAGATTTGGTGCTCAACTGGCAGGCTTGTTGTCACTGGTAGGTTTATTTTGTTATTCATAGTTGCTTGATGAATTGTAATGCTCTTTGGTTCCGACTTACATTTGTTTGGAAGTATGGACCTTTGCGTTGTTGAATGCCATTAGAATTGCATGAAAGAGGATCTGAGCTATGCCACTGGGCAGTAATGCCTCACTTGGTCCAAATCCATGAGCATAAATAGTTCAGCTGTTATGTCAATGGAATCTCTGATGGTGGTAGACCTATAATCGGCCCTTTTTGTGTGACAGATCCTGTCTCAATCAGGATAATTAATATTGTCAGCATTCAAACATCTTGAGTTAGGGGTTGGGACCTCTCTTCAGATGTAACCTCAATCCAGTATCTTGTTATACAAATTGTGGTCTCAATTTGCTGAAGAAGATTTAGTAACCTCCACGCCTCCATCTTGCCATTTGATGCTCTGATATCGAGAACTTTTGAAGGCGCCATTCTCGAGGATTATTATTTGGTCGTAGTTCAACATGCCTCATTGCCAACATCGTTCTTACTAGTTCCTCTACATGAGATTATGTCTGTTAACTTCTACCAAATAACATTTTCAGGAGGAGCTAACTCAAGTATGCAAGCAAAATTGCCGAAATTTATCCAATCAAACATCAAAATAGTACAAATGTGCCTCTTTATTCATCAGACCTAGACATGGATGCTATATTATAGTTATTTTCCAAATGAGAACGTATTGCACATTGATTCTCAATCGCAAGGATCAAGCGAAATCCCAAAAGCACACCAATATAACAAGATTAAACATGCAAGCCTACAAACACAACTGTCACAAAAAAAATAAAATAAAATAAAAATAAATAACACTGAAGTCCCACTAATCAATAGTTATCTGTATAAAACAAATATATAAATTCTATACCATTCAGAAAAATATTATTGATACACCCATCGTGAAACATCCAACAGCCACCCAGGGGCTCAAACGTTCACCTGTTTCAAATATCAATAGAAGTCAGCCACTAAATGAACAGGACACAGTAAAGACCAAAGAAAATCCTAGCCATTCTACTTGCTTAGACATGCACTAAGTAGAAGATAATGTTGGTTGGGGAAATGGTTCATTAATTATCAGACTTCAAATCTTTCAGTTTCTACCAACTGTGCATACCAAAAAATTGTGCCCCAAACCATCTATTTTCCACCCCTGCTCCAAGAGTTAGTGATCTTGAATGCCAAAAGAAGGGTGATGCACACAGGCCCTTTTCTTGTGTTGAGGGAAGGGGTGGTTAATCAACTAGGCCTCAATGAAATTTGGCAAGGGAAACAAAGCGATTTGGACCTAGTGGTAGTACCAAATCTACCATGTTTAAAAACCATCATCTTTCTGTTAAATGATTTGAAAAAGGAGAAGAATGTTCCATTATAATGCTGGCAAACCCATTGTCCAGGCAAAAAAAGTAATAATAATCACCTATTCTAGCTGCCTTCCAAAAGAAACCCCGAAATCTGTCAAAGAGAGACACCAACCAGAGTGGCATTTAGTTAGATGAAATGAAGTCAACAATAAAAATAAAAAACCTGAATACATCTCACACCAAAGACAATGTAAAATGTCTGCCATTCAAACTTTAAATCCTGATACAGATAAGACTAATATCAAATGAATGAAAGCATAAACCATCTCGAACAATAAATCACCATACGGAAAATCACTCATAGTTACTCGGAATAGTCATTACCTTCTAGACGTTTTTAATGTTGTGATGCGCATTGCATACTTAATCTCACAAAGAGACATGCACTAGCAAACAAATACAATGATAATTCTATTAATGTCACTCTGGGGGTGGTTCCCCAAGCTCCATGTTCATGCGAAAAGCATCAACAATCAACATATTGCGCTGAATGCATCCATACACGTATGACTGCATGAATATGGGCAATATTCATATTTCTTGTCAATTTTTATGTATCAACGACCAACTAAAGTTTGAGTAATCATGCTTGCTTAAGCATCATCTAGAAGCACAAAAGCATACTTAACTTTCATTCAAAATGTGCCGTGGAAGAAGGCCTTAACCAAACATAAAACTGTATATATTATTAAAGCAGGGCCATGCATAACGTTGCCTGCACCACGACGGATTTTGACATCCTAAATTCATATGATCTTCTCACTTCCCATCTAACATAATTACCTTGCAAATAGTTCTATGATTTTTATTTTGCATTCCCCACTTTGTAGGGCCGTATTCAAATTACAAGCAGTACCAGATAGTTTCTTCACTATGTCAACTAATGATGTTTCTAGTCTTCCTGTCATCCAAGTGGCACCTTGGACATAAGCCATGTTTCACCCATATAAAAGATGATTCGAAATATGTGCACCATGTTTCTATAGGGCAAACACAGAGGCTTCAAGAATCAGGGAATTAAGAGCTGAAGATTAACACTAACTTCAATTTGTAAATTCCTTGCTAAAGTATAGGTAAGATTATAGCAGTTAACAATAAATTTGCATTCAAATCTTTTGACTTCTAAAAAACTCACAGTACACGTTTTAAAAATTCTTTCAAGAAGGTTTCACCATCTCAATAGAATTCACACAAGTTCAAATTTTTTTTTTTTTCTTTTGCTAAGAAACAACAATTTTATTAAAAACATAAAAAATAATAGTACAAGGAGCAGTCAAAAGTGGACAAATCGTCCAACCTAATAATTAGTACAATCAAAAGAAAAACAAAAGACATGACAATTGAATCCATGTTAAAGGCAAGATGCCATTGACACTAAATAAAGGAATATTATCAAAGTCCTTTGTCACTGATGCCAAAAAAGAAGCCAAGAAATAAAGTCGATCCCATAACCCCTCCATATCCTCCCATTTGTCTTCAAAGATTCTCGCATTTCTCTTCGTCTATAGGACCCAAATTGTTGCAAAAAACACACAACGCCAAAGCGTCTTCCTTCTTTCATTTCCTTCCAAGCCCAAAAAGTCTAAACAAATCATAGATAGAATAGATCTTAGAGTCACCCAACAAAGACCAACTAATTCAAACAGTTTATTCCACAGTGATAAAGCCATCGGACAGTGCAAGAGAAGGTGATCTGCACTCTCACCATTCCTTCTACACAAAACACACCACGAAGGTGAAATACATGTCTTAGGTCGCCTTCTTTAAAGTAAATCATTTGTATAAGTCTTGCAATAAGTGATAAGCCATAAACAAACTTACAACTTTAGAGGAACACTAGAATTCCATATTTTTCAAGATGGATGAAATAACGATAGAGAAGGATCATCAATTAATGGTTCAAAATACGATTTACAAGAGAAAACACCCGAAGGATCACTAATCCAAACTCTTTTATCCAAAGAATTTTGAGACAAATAAACATTATCAAGAAGAGTTAGAAGATGCACCAACTCCGACTGTTCCCTATCATTAAGATTTCTACGAAAACCAAAATTTTAAGAAACCGAAAAAGAGTAAGAGGTGAAAAAATATGCAAAGCATTTCCCATGACAACAAGAGATACAATAGAGTTGAAGAAAAGACTATCAAACAAGACTCCCCCCCCCCCCAAACAAAAAAAAAATATTCTCCCAAAACTAAATCCTAAACCCATCACCCATCATGAAACTCACTTTCTGGAAAAAGCATTAGGTAACCCCTGAAAAATGAACTTCTATGGATTTTGAAAAGTCTCCCTTTCAACTCCCTAAGCATTCCACTCATAAGTTTGTAACTCATATTTGTTGTTAATAATCATATGTCACAATGCACCTTGCTCCATTGGAAATTTTCAAAACCATTTACCAATCAAGGCCTCATTTTTTTTTTTCATCAAGTTCTCCAACAACAATCCACCCTTAGCTTTTGGTCTAGTGACCACTTTCCAAAAAACCAAATGGTCCTTCTTACCTTCTCTGCTCCTTTTCCATAAGAGTTTCTCATCATCCCTTCAAGCCGTCTAACCACCCAACAAGACATCTTAAAGAAAGATAAGTAATAAATATGAATGCTTTGTAAAACAGACTAAAATAATGTCAACCTCACCACTCTAGAAATGAAGGCTTTCTTCCATTCATCTAACATTCTTCCTACATTGTCAACAACAGGATTTGAAAAGGTAGGAAACATTAGGTTACCACCTAAAGGGAAACCTAAGTACTTTAAAGGCCAACTTCCCACTAAACATTCCAACTCTCTAGCCAATCTCTCAATTTTCTCTTGATTTGAATTAATCCCTACAACTATACTTTTCTCCATATTAATCTTCAAACCAGAGACCAATCCAAATACCTCAACAATCTTTCCTAAATTTTTAAATTTTTCCTCATCTCCCGAAGAAAAGAAAATTGTATCATCTGCAAATTACAAATGAGACACCAAAATATGGCAAACCCTCACCAAACAAGATCCCTCAACTCTCTCCATTAACCAGCACAACCCATCCACCACCAAAATGAACAAAAATGGCGACAATGGATCCCTGTGTTTAAGCCCTCTTGAAGCTTTAAACTTACCACTAGGTTTTCCGTTTAACATAACAAAGAAATTCATTGATCCCAAGCAACCCTTAATCCATGTCTTCCATCTATTTTCAAACCTTTTACTCCCATAACAAAATCCAAGGAAGACCAATCCTGTCCTCTACTACTGACACATCTTGACAAAGAAATTTCTCATTCTAATATAGTTAATTTGGGTTATCAACAATCTACCTTTATCATATTCGTTTGTCTAATTAAGTGTAGCCTTTCCAAATTCTCAACCTCGTTCATATCTAACTGAAGACACAACTCAGAAATGGAGCTTGAAAACATAAATATTCGACCACTACCGCCAGAGAATTTGTAATGCAACAGCATCGCTAGCAAACAATATCACACACTAGTATCATGTGCGTCAACTGCGCAAGAACACTGAAATCAGGAAAATAATTTCATGCGAATAACATTATATTTCTACCAGAAACAATTACCCATCACTTGCCCATTTGTGAATGCATATAGAAAAAGTATGCCCATATGTGTATACACTTTCGAAGGAGAAAATCTGACATACCCAGTTTTCTGCTCAAAGAGGGCTGGGAACTGCATCTTCAAGAACGTGCATGTGCAAATCACCAACAGCACCACCGTCAGAAATGAATGGAAGTTAAATAGCGCCGACTGTAAACATGAAATAACCCACAAAAAAAAAAAAAGGAATCACAACCCACAAATTGTAAATGCAATCCACAACCCCAAGAACCAAATTAACGACAACATGCATTTAGAATTTCCTTTACCATATTTTTCGATCCTCCTCGAACTGAGTTGTGTCTTTTCCTTCTCAACTTCGTCTCCGATCCACGGACAAATAAAGCGAACTAGAACGACAACAAAAGATAGCCTAGTTTTATGACATCAGAAGATATCATAGTTGTCCTATGAGACGGTGTCGTTTAATTAAATCGCTCAGTTTAGATCGACTCGTCCGGTTCGCACAGTTTTTGACTGGTTCAGTGGTTTGACCCCGATTTTCATGCACAAACGAACTTAACTGGCCCGATTTGAGCACCGATTCACCAGGACAATCAGGCGGACCGGATCGAATTTTAAAACACTAATGTTATACTCTACGAGGGCAAGGACACCCTTGTGAAACAATAAGATGGTAGTCGTGAATCCAAACATGCCTTTTAGAGACACGAAATCTGCATTAGATGAAAGATACAATTACAATAATGAATTAAAAGCTAAAATTGTTTATGCTCAAACCTTGCAATGCTGGAGGTACAATGTCGTTTTATTCCTCAACAATCCTACAGACTCTTCACTATTTTTGTGCACCACTTCAATATTAATCATTAAATTAGTAAATCCTACTTAATTCATTAATTAAATATATAATAATTAAAATCATATCACATAAGGTGATATAGATGAAATACACCACATATCATTATTGTCCCTACAATGGCGTATGCACATTTTTCAACTCTTTGAAATTTTTGGCTAATTTTCTGACATTAAGTATGTGAAATCATAATTCGGAAAATCTTAGCTCCAATAAATTTAAAACCCAATTACGTGTCCCAATATTTCAGTCAAAATAAAAAATTAAAAATGAAAGGTAATGTTGATATTTAAAATACTATTTTTGTTGACATTATCTTTTGGCTTAAACGTCAGCTACCTTGAAGCAACCACCACCAAAAGTTATTAAGCACATCCACAATCAACCACCACCTAGGCCTCGTAGTCGTAGATGAGGGCATGTATATGCAGCTGCAGTCTGCAGTCCAGTCCCGTAAATTTTCTGATACTATGGACAGATATGTACAAACATAGTAAGCTGGAGGAAAAAGGAAAAAAGAAAGTAAATGTTAATCATCCAACGTACCAAACTGTCCAGTAAATTTGCATTTCTTTCCCACTAGGCAAAAGCAAACAGCTGTTGTTGAAAAGTAACACACCACCGCATCGAAGAAATCTCCAAAACGAATGCAGAAATTGTCCGCTTCTAAGAGAATAAATTTGGTAGATACGTTTCTAAGGGTAGACGTAATACAAAAGCTGATTAACATCCCTAACTTCGGTATTGTATTAAAAAAGGAAACACTTCAGCCGAGGCAGATAACAGTTCTAAGCATAAAGAATTGCAATGAAAGAAACAAAGGATGGAGCAGAATTCCCCTCAAACAATCCGCTCCAACTCCCTTGCATAACTAAGCGTCTGATTGATGAGTTGCAAAGATGGTATCTCCTTGCAAGGTGCAGATTCTTTAGCCCTTTGGAAAACTACAAACCCATTTTTTATCTCCCACTCAGGATGGTCCTGCAAATCAATCATCATAAGAGGGACAATCAGGACAAAGATAGGGAATTAAAAAAGGGTTTAAATAGGTTACAATCACACGAAACTGCTAAATATTCATTAGCAAAACACACAATACGAATTCAAGCAGGTTGCAAATATAAAGCAACAAAGTCAGTGTTGTAAATGCATATTTCAATTTTCTTAGAAATAACCCAACACAATCTTTAGAGTACTGAATATTAGAGAGAGAAAAAGGGGGGGGGGGAACACTTGGAGTAACACATTAAGGATTACCAAATCACCGCAAATGAATAAAGATGAAGACAACAAAATAATGGACCAAATATAAGCATTCATCCACTGAAGATATAACCAAAAGTTTTTCTCAAGGATTTGGTGAATTGGTGTGGGTGGGCATGAGCATGGGTGGGTGGAGGGTGGGGATGCAACAAATATTGAAGCCAACCGAGAACCAGGGATGGCCTATCATTAATTTGAACTATTCATTCTTCTTGTGTAAACCATAGATGCAAGACTAGTATGTCCTGAATCTGATAGACTAACAACAAATTACAAAAAAATTACCTCCTTGATATATTCAAAAAGTTCTTTGTCCGAAGTGAACAGCAACATTTGTCTGCAATCATTAACTGAAAGGGAATCATATGCCTTCTCACCACATCCAGCTATCTCATCCCTAAAAAAAAAAAGGAAAAACATGAACTACTATGCACATAAACTAAGCCACAATTTTTTCCAGGGACTATTAGTGTGTGAGTGATGTGATGAAACATCAGATGTAGGTGGTTCATTCAACCCATAACAGATGTCTGATTCAAGGGATGTGATTTCATTTTACAGGTTCTCAGCATGAAAAACTATAAATATATGGAAGTACCGAAATAATGCACCAAATACATCTACACAGATGAATATATAACATTAGGAGCTTCTCCAAAATGATATGGACATGTATTAAAAAAATCAACAGCCGCATCAACAAAGATAAACCAATATGACTTAAAATAAATAGTGCAAAAAAAATGAGAAAGTACGAAAAGAGGAGGAGGGCAGCAAGAGAACACGGATGTCTATGAATAATTTAAAGGGGACTACACCTAAAATTATGCAAAAAACTGCACATATGTGATCCCAAGTAGGGTTTGATGCTTTCTTTAGATGAGACTGGCAAATCATCATTGCAAACCTTTTAAATATAAAGACTCGATCCATGGAGCATGGAAATCTATCTGTCATATCCCTCATCTTTATTACATAATCTCCTTTCCTCCATGAAAGTCCTACTGTATTAGAGTAAAGTAGCTCTGACCCGAAAAAAAAAAATGAAGTAGCAAAAGGGAAAGATAAATATGCTGACCAAACAAATCAACACAGGCTTCAACTACAATATATTACATTAACTGGGACCAAAGTAGCAACCAAATAGCCTATCTGGATCTGGATAGCAATCTAATCATTTTCCCCCACCATGCCCATTAAAAGAAGTACAACAACTGAAAAGGACCTATTTAGCCTATTAAGCAAATCCAAACTGTCCAAGTTCTAAAACAACTGGCCAATAACAACCTCTTGCATGGAAGCTAAATGCTAGAGATATGCCACTTATTCTGTGAACTTTTCTCTAACTAATTGTATTATTACATCAGTTTAGCATCAACAATTTACCTGACTGTCTTGGCCAGTAGATCCATGAAATAAACATAGGTTTCATGAGGTACTGTCTGTCTAGCACTCAACACACGATTGTAAGCTCCTTCCATAAAAGATTGCTCCAATTCCACGGCATGCTTGATACAAGGATTCTCCAGAGCACGGGCTGAGAGCAACTCCAGTTCAGTGTGGAATTCAGCAATTCTATTCTGCACAAGGAGTCTCAAAAGGTTGAGACCTAGGATGGGATACTCCTGAGCGGATGGTGGAAGACGGTCACTGCACCATCAAAAGAAATAGAAGTTACAAACATCACCTTTGAAACTCAGAAGTTGCAAGTGAATAAGATAAATGTTCGCATAAAAGATCAGCTGGAAGTACATTACTAGAACCACAGAGTTTAGTTATAAACGGACCTCCTATAACTCATGTCTAAACATAACCTACAAAATCATGTATCCAGATAACCTCTTCTCTCTCTCTCTCACACACACACACACACACACAGAGACAGTAAAAGGATATGACAGTCTCTGGCTACCTGGTATCACTGCTGCACTTGTCCATGTCCTCAAAGTCAAATCAAGTGGACAGCTTCATGAAACCAAATGGTCATATGTTGTTTTCTTCCCACATTATATATTTGGTTTAATATCCATGCAGGCAGCAGGGGCTACTGAAGCTTAAGGTGATGCGTTGCGAAATTTATCCAACTGCCTACTTTTCCTATTTCCTATTACCTCTTCTTCTTCTTTTTTTTTTTTTAATGAATCTAATCACAATTTTCAACAAAACTAAAATATGGAATTGAAACACTCCATCTCAGAAGAGCCTTAGTTCTTTTTTTTTTTTGGGTCATGGGCCTTAGATCACAAGCCATCAGATGATAAAAACTGTCATCCAACATAAAACAGAGGATCCACTATAATTAAATTTCCAGCCTAGCTTTCAGAAATTACTTAACCAACGAAGAAAGGAACATGTTCTGTATATTTTAATTCAACCAAAACTTAAGAGTTTAGCCACTGTGCCTGTCTGGATTGTTTAAAAGATGAAAGCTCTTCAAATGACTAAAACTAAGGACAAGCAAAAGTTACCGTGCATCAGTGTAATACGGTTTCAGCTGAAAAAAATCCCTCTCAAAAGCATCCTGATCCTCAGTCTTCACACTTAGAACAACTGCATGCTCATATATATCCCCTGGAGATTTTCATAGTCACAGGCATTGTGAGTGGGGGGAGAAAACATAAATAACTAAGAAGCAATATATGATCTTCAAATCTTTCCATCTTCCACAACAGTTATAAAACCTTTAGATAAATAACTAAAAATAGCATGCCTCATCCATCAACTAAAAAAGCATACTCGATTCCGCATGAATTATCCACCTAATGGGCAGTGAAGATATCTGGGGTTACGACAGACCAGATTTCATTAACTGTAAAGCCACTCGTCACTTTTCTTTCTCTCTCTCTCTCTCTCTCCAGAAACCCTGATTCATTTGTATAAGAATTGAAAGGCCTGTGGCTTTAATTAGATATAGAGCTCCCCCATGTTACAACGACAAAGCAGGGGTTGTAATGCCAACTTGCTTGTTTTACATGTAGTATGACACATACATATACATATAAAAATACAAAAAATATATGTATGCATGCTGATTTCATGGATCTCATGCAACACTCTAAGTTTTCATATCTACTCAAAGGTCAATAAACATTTATGCTATAGCATAGAGTAGATCCAAAATGGAGAGACCCAAGTGAAGAACACTACTTGCTATTGTCAACTCATGAAGTGCTTTAGGTGTTTCTTCAAATAAAGGAGGAAGACTTTTGAATTCTGTCAGCAAGACCTGCAAGACACAAAAAAAAATATCCATAGCATGTGGTAATCAGGGATTAAAAAATATAAATACATCACCTTAAAATTTCTTGCAAACATAGCAGCCTTAATATGTCAAGTCTCCTAACCTAACAATTCTTACGAATACCACATTTGCACTGGTTTCAACTTTCATTACGTCAATAGGATAGTCTAGCAATATTATTAGCGTGTAAAAATTCATCACAACATAAAGATCTGCATTAATCCGGTTTTCTTTTGTATAGTTCAAGCCCTGCTTCCTTAAGACTCCCTGCTGTGAGTTACGATAATTATATTTAGGCAACATTACATCACAATAAAAGGGATACTCTAAATCTGGAATCCTTGGACCGATTTACTTTTTCGTTTTTTAATTATAAAAAGATGAAAATTCAAGCCAGCCTGACCGCCATTCCTCAATATAATTTCATGGCCTTTTACACTTTCTGGTTACTCCATATCTTTCAAAGTACGTATTCTCATGCTGTGCATTGCACGCCCCAAACCAGTAATAGTACAATTCTAAAGTAGCAAAAAAAAAAAAATTGACCTCCTAAATAGTGACAAAAAGGGATTTAAACAATTGCACTAACTTTCCAAACAAATAATTTGCAATTCTTCTTCACAATCCTCGGATCTAATTCGACATATTTTCTTCATGAGACTATAATCATAGAAAAATTTTCAAAAGGTAAGACACCATTAAACCTCCCAGAATATTGACTCGAATCAAGAACGCTATACTGTACTTTCAGTGAATTCAACAAATATTACTTCAAAATATCGAGCGAAATGCACAGAAAGATAGTGGCTCAAAATCAATAAAATGAAGGGAAAATTAGGGCTTTGAGCAGGTAAGATTAACATAATCAAAATAAAATACAGGATATGGAGACAAGATATCAAAGTACATTAAGAACTGAAGAATTACGGATTTGAACGTGGTAATGAAATCTGAGTTTAATTTTTTTATATTTTCGAATGGATTTTTTTTTATTTACCTTGAGTTGAGAGAGGAGCCTTGCAAGTATCAAAATCGTTCCTCACGAAAGCAGCTTTGAATCGATCGAACAGTTGCGAAACCTCCGTGAGCTTTGGATCCATCTCTTCTCTTCTCTCTGCCTTCTTACTTTACTTTCTCAAGGAATGAGTTGTCGTTTGCCGTATTTTGCTACCCTTCCTTCGGCTACAAGCCTACAAGGAACTGAGGAAGAGTAGAAAGAATGTTTTTAAAGTTTTCGGTTAATAACATTAGAGTTCCCAAAATATTATAAATTTATCACATTGAATATGAACAAAAAATAATTTGAATAGTTCTAAACAAAAATTTGAATATCTCTTGATAAAAATGTTTAATTAAATAGTGTAATTTTGATATTTTTTTGACTAAAATTTTGATAAAAATTTAGTTAAGAGTTGTCTAAATTATTTTTTTATCTATATTTAAGTATTATGTGATAAATTTAAAATAAAAAATAATTAACAATATGGACGTTGTTTATTTGAGAGATCACATAAAAGAATATTTAATATTTCAGAGATTAAAATGATTTAATTTAAATATTAGAGACTAAAATGAGATAAATCCAAACTTTAGGGACCTTTAGTGAAATTAACCCTTTTTTCTTGTGGACGGTTCGGGTTGATCCGGTTATTTCTAACCCGGGTCTCGGAAAAACGAACTTCGGAAGTCGCAGAGCGCATTCCTGTTGTTTGTCGTTCATCCTCGTCGTCACTCTCTTCCACCATCACTACCCCCCGCCCGCCACCACATCTCTCAGAGTTTGAGCTTCCTTTTATAAACTCAGAGAGAGCAGCAGATAAGGAGAACCCAAAAATGGTCGCTTTATTGGTCTCCTCAAGCCTTACAGTCACCGCCTTATTTTCATCTCCATTCCCTTACAAACCCCTCAACCACTTTCACTCTCCTCTTACTTTTACAGCTTTTTCTGGAGAAGCGAAAGCCTTGCACCGCCAGAAGAGAAACTTATTAGGTTTATATATCAAAGCACAGACTCTGGACTTCTCGGGGTCCTTCTTTGAAGGAGGAGGAGGATTCGGAGGAGATGATGACCCGCCAACCCTATCCGGGGCGGCGATTTCGGCTGTTGAAGACAAAGAGGAACCCCAGTGCCCACCAGGCCTTCGACAATACGAAACCATGGCCGTTTTGAGACCCGACATGTCCGAAGACGAAAGACTCGCTCTTACACAGAAGTATGAAGAGGTACACTTTTAAATTCCCTTTATTTTCTGGCATTTCTTTTCATATATTCATGGTCGTAAAGATTAGCTATAATAGTTTTCGATATTGTTATTGTTAATATTCCTACAAGCCTGTGCCCAAATATTCATTTAAGAGAAAGTTTGGAACTTGGAATTGATGGCCTGTGTCTCTTGAATTACTGAAACATAGCATGAGGGTGAAATTGGATTTGTTCCTCATGAAAATAATTCGAACAATTGTACTTCAAATTAATGTTTTTTTGGAACCTGGCTGAATTCGTTGCTTATAAACTCGATCATACCCGACTGTGTAGTAGTAGTAGAAAAAGAAGACATTAAGACGTCTTTGCTCTTTCGTTGTTGTTTTGGCAACAGGTGTCTGAAAAGTGATATAAATAGTTGACACAATGACATGAAATATGGACCTTATTATGGCTGCAAATTATGTGGATTGAAATATATCTCTTCATCATTTGCCTGTTCTCTTCACTTCAAAATATTCTACCGATAGGCATACTTTGTTGTGCTAATTCCCCAGCTTGAAATGATTGATTCTGGTTTTCCTGGTTTTATACTGTTGTTGATGATCATTTAAGAAGAAAAGTGATGGAGATTGGCAAGAGGATGAATGCCACTGAGTGTAGATTCAAGCATGAAGGGAGAGTCACAAATAGATACCCTGTTGAAACCAATGAGGAGAGAGTAAGATTAGTGAGTTTTATTGTATCAAACACCTGATTTTGATTTGTTATACGAACTGGTCTTTTTTTTTTTAATTTGGTAGTTTTGAGAAACACTGCCAATTTTCATTTCTCACTACTTTTATGGGCATGAGTCCAATTTAGAAAGCTTTAGGATGTGAAATATGAGTTTTTTATTGAAAATAAGTGAAAGCAGATATCTCTTTTGTACCCAGAGAATTCATGATTGTAACCTGGCTGTTAAACTCATTGTAACAGATGGTAGGTTTGTATATTTTCCTGGCCGTTTAGTCAGACCGTAAGGGGGTTGGACCCCTTTGATTCCCAATACATAACAGCGTTACTCTCCAATGCAGGCATTTCTCAGTATCTTACTCCTAGAACAGTAATTCGCCTACAAAATTACTATAGTGTTTCGGGGAAAAAGGGGATAGATACTATATTATTTGGCATGGGTATTGAAGGTTCAACCAGGCATCTTAAACCACTTATTGCAATTGTGAGAGATTGAAGTAAGCTATTGATTGGGCAATTGGCATACTAACCGTTGAATAATTGTATTCTCTCCAGTGTCTTTCCCTAAAGCAAGGTAATCGGATGGTGGGAATCATAAAAACAAATGTGATGGAATGAGTATTGTCATTCAATGACCCTAATCCTATTCACTGCCAATTTTAAAGATTTCCTCTCGTCTTTTCTTTTTGTCCTTTTCATATCTCTTCCAGATTGGTTAATTTTTGTTTCCCTATTAAGTTGGACAAATTCTGCCTGTTATCTTTTAGGCACCAATGTTTCCATGTTGTAAATGAAGGAAAAAAGGAAAAAGGAGAATGCTACTCTTTGGAAATGGAGGTTATAGTCAATTAGAATATATATCTGGTATATAGCTAGAATTGCCCTCTATAGTGACATTTGATCTTCAATCTGCTGGTAAGACAAGATTTCTTATCAGTACATGTGCTTGTTTACACCCAGAAGTGCAATGATTTGCAGATTTGTTGTGAGAATGTCCATATATTTGGTTCTGAAATTGTGCTCCCTTTATGCATCCAATTAGTGTAATGTATACCTGAAACTTCAGGCACCTTCATTGGCCAAGTTTGTCCTGAAGGCTTGCTAATTTTGCCCATTTTGCAGTTGCTTGTTGCTGGGGGTGGCATGTATGTGGAGGTATTCAATCGAGGGGTCATTCCACTTGCCTACAGCATCAAGAAGAGGAACAAAGCAGGAGAGACCAACACGTATTTAGATGGCATCTACCTCCTGTTCACTTACTTCACCAAGCCTGAGTCTTTGGCAGTCCTTGAGGCGACACTAAAAGTGGATGATGATGTTATTCGATCATCCAGCTTCAAAATAAGGAAAAGGAAGTACTGAATTTATGTCTTAATAACTTGTGTAGCTATGTAATCAAGGCAAATAGAAAATATAGTTGCGCGTTTTCTCGGCTAGTGTTACGGATGTCTTTTCTTCAGAGTTGGTGGAATTTAGTTTTTGAATCTAATTGGTGTATCAGAATCAGCTGTAAAACATATTTATATTGCAAGAGGACATTAAACTGACTTTTGTCGATTTTTGATACAGCTGCTTGACATTATTGACCAGCTATATTGTTTCCGTTTAGAGACTAATATAACTATATTATAATTTGTAAGTACCGTTTTGTTTTTTAGGGATTCTCGGGAGATACAATCCTGTGTTTGTGGGTGTATGTGTGTAATTGGCACTTGCTTGTGTAAACTGGAAGTAGGAGTTTTTAAGTTTTTGGGATGATCCGTGAGCCAATGTAATCTACCACTGGTGGGTCTTGAAACTTGGTTCACGGCCATCTTCTTTCCTGCCAAAGGACTTCTGTACAGTTGCAGTCTGCTAATCAAACCAGCAACTTACTCTTAGGTAATCTGATTTTGCATGCACTTGTGGAAATAGATCGTAGCCTGGGTTTATTAACTAGTCAACTTGTCTATTTCAAACTCTTGATTTTACAGCTTATTTACAAATGCATCTGAAGAGGTTTTAAGGCTTGTGGAATTGGAACATGGGTAGTTTCTCAGGTTTCCCGATTGAAGTTTTATTGCTGCCAAACACAAAATCAATTGGTCTCCAACGACCGTGGCTCAATCAACTATGACAGAAAACTGAACCTCCGAACATCAGAAATAGTACATTTCTCCAAAAGAAAGGTAGGCAAACACTCGATTGTTCATTCTCTCTAAAATTTTCACTTCGATACGATATCATTAACTAATTCCGCTCTTACAATAATTTAGTCACTTAAAGTTCCCAATGTCGGCTTCTACCAATGATATTCATGTTTGACGTACACTAAATCTTGTCTAGACAAATTTGAATCGTCACCTAGTGGATGTTGAACAGCCAGAATCTTTTCATTTGGTACGGATTCAACAGCTGCCTCTCTCCGAGGATTATTATCAACAAAAAGTAGAGCACTTTGTTCAACCAAATCAAATGGGTAAAGCCAGAAATACTGAAACATTGCCCATATCTGGAGGATCTAATTTAGTGGTGCAGTTTGAGACCTTACCTCATGCCCACATTGAAAAGAGAGAGGTAGACAAAACACTTCATGATCCACAAACAAAAAAAGGTCTTTAATCCTTATCTATTTCAGTAAAGGAAATGCCCACATGAAACTGCATCTCATTAAGATATTAAAAAGGACAAGTTCCACCACTTCGAACAAAGAATATATAGGTGTATAAAAATGATTGTGGGTTTCAAAAGAATTTAGAGCAAGAAATTTATTAATTGTCATTAACCTATACTCACTAAATTTAGTGCCCAGCACAGCACAAGTGCCTGTGCCCCCCTTGACCACGTTAGACAAAAATGCTCCAAAGATGAAAACAAATTGGAACTAGGTGCCCTCCGCTGGGGCCCTATCTTTGTGAGCTTGGCCCATCTTGGAAAGGGACAGAATAAATCATCATGTACCATTGATCATTCTCATCTCAAAAAACACCTTAGCAGTCTTTTATAGTTTTTAACCGAAGTTACATTATTTAAATGTCCTCCCAATCTCTCTCTCTCTCTCTCCCCCTCTCTCTGTGTTCAATGGTTTTCCTTATACATATAAACTCAACAAAGCATTTGTACCTCTCTCATTTCTGATAATTGCAACTCTAGAAGTTTACAATGGGGTTTCCTCAAACTCCAAGCCATCCTCACTTGTATTCACAAGCACTGCAACAAAAACTTTACCAGGTCTTCATATTTTCAATCCCAGTACTGTTTTCAATCATTCTTTTTCTGTTGTTTTATTTGTTCTACCTCAAGAGGCGGACTTCCACTGCCTCATCTCCTCCACCAACACTTCCGAGGACCTTAAACCAAGCAACTCCATTCGCCCCTTTGGTAACTCTCTCTCTCTCTCTCTCTCACACACACACACACACACACACACATTAGCTTGTTAAATTAAGGGCAAAATATATTTTTGGTCTATAAATTATATGTTTTGTGTAATTTTGATCCCCAAATTTTCAATCGGGTCAATTTAGCATTTCAAGTATTCAATTTATGTCACTTTTGTCCAATAAAAAATGACAGTTTAAATTGATTAATTGAGATAGTAATGTAAATCTCACGTGATAGGGTCATTTTTTTCTAAAAACGTAAGAGATTAAAGAGATACAAACAGTAAACGTAAAAGACTAAAATGACATATTATAATTATGAGAATTAAAGTGACCCCTTAAGTGTAGTCATGTGAGACACGTAAACGATAACACACCACTGTTCAACTTAAACCGTTGTCTTTGATTGGACCAAAATCACAAAAAAATTTAACTTTTAGAAACTATTACTATATTTTTATGCTTAAATGAATTTCTCTAATTCTACATTTTCCCTGTGTTAAACCAATAGGGTGAAATGGGCTTGAAGGGGAACCTCAAAGAAAAGCTTCCAGTAATCTCCTTTAATGATGATCTGAAGATAAAAGAATCGCAGTAAGTCTTTTACTTTCTTCAGCAAGTTCTTAAATTTCGCACTGGATGTGAAGACAAAAGCAATCACAGCAATTTACAACACTGTTTTGACTGTAGAAGTTTCACGATTTGAACACTGCTGTTTTAAATAAGACTGCCGAATGTTTTGAGAATATTTTGAAGGTGTTGTGTTTGCTTGGGAGAATTCGAGATCAATGAGAAGGTGCTGCAGCCACGTTTGTGCAAACACATCGTTCACATCGACTGCATACGCCACTGGCTCCATTCAAACTCCACTTGTCCACTATGTAGATCCTCGGTCATTGCCACCACCAAGCATGCCAATTTTGATCTACCTGTCAGTCCCGAACCAGTTGAGCAAGATAACCAAAACTTCCACCACGATCCACAGAATATCGCTTTTGTAGGGCAACAAGGTCAACTAAGTAGAGGTAGAACAATTCTGAATTCTTGCTCGATAGAGCAGCATATCGTCCTAATAGAAGGATCATCCAGTGCAAGCTCATCCATTTGCAGAGACAGTGAGCTGAGTTCTCTATATCCTGAATCAGTCGTTCTCAGCATTCAATCTCATGGTAGTTGACCCCTCAAAACTAAAATACAAGAGTGGGGTCCCTGTGGCTGAACCTTTTTTTTTTTCCAAAGGAGTTAGAATTCTTAAATAAGCTCAAAGCCAGTGATTTTGTGCTTGTATTCCCTCTAGTATCCAATTTTCGGCTGTGAAATTCACATTTGAAAACGCACACAATCAAGAAAAGTTGAATTGTAAACATAAACGTTTTGTGTTCAAGTTCCCCAGGCAACTTAAAACACGACTTCCAAATGAAGAACAAATGATGCAATATTTTTGATAAATGAGCACGTTACATAGATGACCATCCAGGCCAGACTTTCTACCCTACAAATTGTATACTACAAACGAAGCCTAATAGCACAGAGAGTGAAAAATTCAAAACAATGATACTATCTTCAAATCTCCCACAGTGAAAGCCCTTTCATATCTTCATTATGAGAGAAGTTGTGGTGTAAAGAGCCCATGACAGAAATATAGAAATGATGGTGGTCTTAATAGGCATCCTTCCTTTGTCAGTCCTCAAGACCATGGCTTCATAAATTGGAAAGCAATTCACTATCCCAAAACCAGCCATAAACATTTGCACAAACGATCCATCTACATTTCCACCACTGCAAACTTCAAGTAGTCCCCTGAGGAACGCGACCAAATTGATTGTTGCTGCCATTGCTAGAGGCACAAACATGGGCGACGGAACACCAAACTCAAAGGTCCCTTGATCATACCTTTTGCTGTGTTCATCGTCAACTACTTTGCTGGTTACATTGAATTGCTGTGTCGTGACACCCAAGTTTTTGGTCACGAACTCGATTAATCCAAACAAATAAGGTGAAAGTCCCCTTATGATCCACATCCTCTGATCACTCCACCACCTTTGGATAGTACCTTCGGCTAAGATGAAGTCAAGGCAATCTTGTGCATAGGCCCCAAGAAATAGAAAAACGTGCAACACAAACCATAAATCCAAGACCTGAAAGATACTTCATTAAAATTATCAAAAAAACTGTACACATACTGCTGAGTAGTGCACATTTATTGTTGAACTAACAAAGTGAAGGGACACCGTGAAATGAGTAGCATAGAATAAGGGATATGTGGGTAATACTGTGCAGAAGATACCTTGGGAAATATCCAGACTTTATTGAGGAGAGCCAGCTGAGCTAGGAATGCGTAAGTGGTTATTGGAATAGACCATATGGGCATGAAGGCTAAGTGTGCATAATTCAGACCCATTAGAGGGCCCATGGCCTGGGCACCAAATGTTACAGGACAATACTTGGAGAAGGCTACCTCAAGGAGGCCGACGGACCACCGCTTGGTCTGGCTTAGCACATCATTGAGGGAGATAGGGGTATCCCCCAAAAATGCCGGCCGATCAGGGTGGCAAAATACTTAGTTCCACCCCTCGCATTGCAGCCGATATCCCGTGTAGTAGTCCTCCACCAAGGATCCATATCTGAAGCCCATCTGGCTCATGAAAGCACAAAGTTAGCAATAAATCGATAATACCGATGCTTAAAATATCCCATTGAAAATTAAGTATTAATAGAAATGTAAATTTGAACAGGTTGAACAGATTAAGAGGGCAACCCAAGTTACAAGATTTGAAACACGGATTGACTCCTCTGCATCCCTAAGTCTTCAAAATAGTGAATCAGCATGATTTGATATAAAGTTAATAAGCTTACCTTGGAACCCCAATTGGTTTGGTTTTCATAATTGCAACCAGCTACAAGATGCACTAGTGCCAAAATAGGTTGGGCCTTGATGGGCTTTTCAACGACGTGGTCCGGGCTCAGTTCAGGAAATTCAGGTGGGAGAAATGACGATGGAGCACCAAAAAAAACCCGACGCCGAAAAAAGCATCCTGTTCCGAAATGACTAGGCCCGGAGAGCCCATCCATTCCAACTGGTTGGACTTGAAACACACGTTTGAGCTCGCATGCATAGATATCAGCTTCGTTCAGGCCATGAAAGCGTTGGGGAAACTGAATATACCCCAAGTTTGGCCGACTTGGGGAATCGGTAATGTAGCATAACATACGGTGAAGTGTTTGGATGTCATTGGAGTACATGTCACAGTCCAGAGTCAAGATGATTGGTGCATTGGTCATGATGGCAGATACTCGGAGCTTCAATACACCAAAAAACGAGAAAAAAAAAAAAAACTAATTCACCACAGCTTTATATATGTAGGTTTGCTATGGAGACAAGCAAGATGATTTGAAAAGTTTTGGATTGCGCTTTGTACCAAGGTATTGAGGGCGCCAGCCTTAAAATGATGTGGGGAAGCTCTACTTTTATGCCTCGATACGTATATAAAATTAGGCATTGATTGGCCTATATTGTCTCTGTCTTTTCCCATCTCTAACAAAACCTGTTTGAATAGTTGCATGCCGTGTAAATGAAGAAGGTGACATTATAACATGAAATTTATATATATGTAGTAGCATTATTGTCTTTGAAAACAAATGATAAACAATTCTCGAGTACTCAGCCATAACACTATCCTGTTATTTTTTCAGGTGATCCAGTTTTGATTGGAAGGAATGCAAGTGCAGAAGGTGGATGGGAGAGAGGAACCAGGATTACAGAGGGATGGTCTTGACAAGTGAACCCTTGTGTCCATTTGTTAAAAGCTTCACGCTCTTCTTCACCGGTAACATGTTCTTCACCGACTTTACCTGTTTCAACCACTTTCTCTACCCTTATCTTCATGCTTTCTACATCATCTGTTACATACATGGATCAAGATTCAGAGGCACTGATATCAATATGATCAAGGTCATTAGCAGCTCTACCAACAAGGTTTAATTTATCTGTACTAAACTATCCATTGGACTGTAAATGGTGATCTTGCTAAAAAATAGTTGAAACCGAAAAAGTTGTGGTATATCCAGTAGGTTTTTTATTTGTGACTTCAACGTTGATATTATCAATTACGACTGTCACCGTCGAGAGATCATTTTCTGCAATAAAAATTAAAAAAGTTAGGTTACATAATCAAACGAATGATTAATAAATGACAGATAACTGATTAATTGTATAAAAAAGACATTTTTTAATGACATTGGTAATGAAGTTATCATGCAATGTATTCAAAGTATGAAAACTCGTTAGAGTTAATTGTAAATAGCTATAATTGGCCCCATTTTTGTATATGTTGGGCTTTTTGTGGAGTCTAGTTTGTACGTGGATCCGGATGATAATTCAACCCGAAATAATATTGTTTGATTTTTAATGAAAAATTTTTGAGGCTTGGGCCTGTTTTGTGACCCGATGCGTAGGACATATAAAAGACCATTACTTTGGTGATTAAGATTCTATCTATATATAGTCACTCTCTATAATCCTCTCTCTCTTAAAAGTGAAAACCCTGCAGTTTCGTGGACATAGGCAAATTATCGAATCACGTAAAATTTTTGTGTCTTGTTATTTCTTGTTTCTTATTACTTTATATTTCTTGGTTTGTTCTTCAATTGTGTGTGTTTGTCTGTGGGTTTAAAGCGTATTAAATCCTAACAGTGTAGAGTTATAATTATTATTTTTTTTTGTCATTTTTTGTTTGCATAGACTATGTATACAGTCTTTTGGCGATTTTGTATTCAATGAATTTTGATATAACAAATATGATGTTTAAAATACAAATGTATCACATTATTTATTTATTTATTGAAAGAAAAAAAATTAAATTTTGTAGTTAGAGGGTGGCCACTCTAAAAATTTTTTTTGGCTCCACAGTATGTTCTTGACCAAGACTCCAATAATTCTAAGCGTGCGTGTGTGTGTTTTTTTTGATACGAAACGATAATATTTTTTTATATATTTAGACATCATCTTGGAGTGTAATTGAGAAAAAGTCTGGAGCAACCCCCTCTATACATTATAATCCAAAAGAGTACTTGCATTCCTAACTAAATACTGGGCATTCTTATTCTTATGAATCCAAGTTACATCAATAGAAGAAAAGTTTGGCATGCGCTTAAATTATAGCACGAATAGAGACAAGAAGATAGCAAATGGCCTCACCACTTGCACTCCTCCCCTTTCAGCCTCTGAATTGATTGGTTTGGAACTGCTCTAAGTATTCAACAAAACTTTATATGTAAACAAAAAAATATAATTCAATATAACTATTTGATCAACATGTGTTGGAGCCCGACAAAGCTATCAAAATCATTAGATATGAGATAATTTAGCATGATGGTCCAAAAACCGACACTCACTCTAATTTAGGTGATTTTCTTTTCCACGGAACAGAAGATTATGTGGCTAAACCGTGCTTGAGTGTTCTATTATTAAGTGATAATTGGTAAATATCTTATGTTCCGTTTGGTAACGAGGGTAAAAAGTAAGAAGGATGAAAAGTAGGAGGGATACACTTTCTATCTTTTAAAGATGGAAAGTAGGAATGATACACTTTTCATCCTTTGTGTTTGGTTGGATGGATGAAAAATAAAAATTACTATTTTTTTTTTGTGCTAACTAGGATTAGGGTTGACAATAGAGTCAAGTTGTATCGTGTTAGATTCGTGTTGAGTCATTACGAGTTTCTGTCGAATATTAGTCAAACCTAATTTAAGCATTTAACTAATTGTGTTGTGTCGAGTTGCGAGTTGATTTATTTATTTTCGCATCGAGTTCAAGTCGAGTCGAGTCATCGTGTTGAGTCAAAAATTTTCACCCTTAGATAAGATGGAAAAATATATATTTTTAAAATTTTTATTTTTTTTAAATTTTTTAAAATATATATATATATACATATTTTATCATTGTATTTTTATATGGAATTAATGTATACATAAGATATATAGACAAATAAGACACATTTCAACACAAATAATTAACTTTTCATCCACTTTCTTTCTGATTTTGGAGAAATTGATTTTAATGAATTGCAAGGAAAGTTAATCCACAACTTTTTCATCTTTTCTACTTTCCTTCCTTACCAAACATGATGTTTTATTTATCCTTTCAACTTTTCATCCTCCCACCTTTTTATCGTACCAAACGAAACATTAAGTTTATCAAGTTTAATTTTCTTTACAACTGATTGTGTACTCTCAAAATACAAATCATAGTCGTGATTTTGCATTATAAAAAAAATTAAATCTCTAATTTTTTTATTTATTACGAGATACGGATATAATAATATATAAGAACTCTAAAAATTAAATATTTTTTATATTTTTATTATTGCATGATACATAATTGTAGAAAATGTGGCAGACAAGATGATAAGGTGATCCCACCACTGGATTGATACGTTGACACGTGTCTAATGAAGGACTCTTTTAACTTTTTATCTCCTACTTCAGTCAAAAAGTCATTCTATCTGTCGCCAGTCTCGTTCTTGTCTTCTGATTTATAAAGTTAGGGTTACGAGAACTGTGCAAGTACGGGAGTTTGGCCAACGTCGATGACAACCTTGATCAAATACTTCTCGTGGCTTAGCGTAGTCGTAAGGGTGGCAGTGGTCTTCTCGCCGTGAATCAGCTGTTGATCTTCGAATGCTTTTTCTTCTGCTTCGTCACCAGCGACAGTGAGTATGCATACATGTACATATATGTATCTGCAGGCGTATCCCAATCGTATCTTGCCTATTCTCCCGTATCATATCCGATATTAAAAAATGATTTTATTAAATATGGGAGACATATTTGACGTATTAGATACGTATTTCGGCGTATCGGGTGCGTATCCGATACGGATAGGACACCCTCGTTGACGATCGGTGCTTGATATTCTAAACATCATTAGGCTGCCCGTTAGATCTGGTTAAGGTGTTAAAAGAACCTATCTTTGAAGTTTTAAGGAATGTCGATGAAATCTAAGCTTGACCTGAACTGTCCAAACAGACATAGATAGATTACACAATTTTACACCATTCAACGGAGATTCACATTTCTGCAAGGGTTATTTTTCTCCCATATTTGATGTTGTTATGATTACTCTTAAAGCTGTAGCCTTAGTTACTTGCTCAACATCAAAACACGGAAATTGGAAGTACAAAACTAGCTATATATGTATGTGTGTATTCACACAGATATACAAGTGATATACACAGTACACACAGACAAGAAGCACAAAACGGAAAATGGAATTGGAAAAAGGCCAATAGGAAAGGAAAAAGGAATAAAAACATTAAATAAGTTCAATGCAAAACTCAAACGGATGAACACAAAAATATAAATATCCAATAAAGAGTGAAGATTTATCGCTTAATGAAGAATTCACCTTGATTTTCTTTATCTCTGAACTCCTAGGGTGGTTTGATCTGAAGTAAGCTTCTGGACACCTATCTACGATGTTATTTTGCCGTCAGTAGGTTAACCAGTGCTTCCCAAACTTTGCAGCCTCCATTAAAGCAAAGAGAGTGAGCTCCGAACCTCCATCGTCTGATACATACACCGAAAGCTTCTCCGTTGGGTAGTCATAAGCCATCACCGATAAGGCCGTGTTGACGACGGTCATCGGCGGCTCTTTGTAGGGATCTGCAGTGCATATAAAGATGTCCATCGCCTGAAAATCCTTCCGATCAACGACTTTCTCAAGGTTTTCAGGGAATTGTTGGCGAAGGATTGGGCGCATGCGAAAGGCTTGTGAGGTGGACCACATCAATCCCAGAAGAATATCAGAGATTAACATAGATATAGATATAAAGAAGGAGACTAAGGTGGTGGAGTGGAGAAGTGTGAGTACATGGTGGTAGAGCAGAGCAAAGATGGCGGTGGTGTAAACTCCGGCGAACAAACGGTTGAAGGGTGTGCGACTCATACATTTATGTGTGTGAAGAGGAGACTTGGAGAGGGTGCTCTCCATTTCCCTTTGCTTGCGCTGTTTCTTGGGGATGACATTATTTGCAAGACTTTGTTTTTTTTTAAAGATCTATCAGACTTGGAGGTACCAAAATCTTTTTTTAATTAATTTAAAAACTATTTATAACCCCGCATGATGTAACATAAAATCCAAACATCTAAAAAAATTGATCATTCTATATTAAATATTAAAAGAATTTCTTTTCATCTTTAATTATATAATTTAAAATTAATTTGTATCAATTATTTTTTTAAAAAATCAATAAAATTTTCTCAATAGACATAATTTCAAAAAATAAATATTAATATGTGTATATTATCGTACAAGAATAATTTCTAAATTAAATTATTCAACTTGGGATAAAAATTGGTGATGTGATAGAAATAAACCAAAAAGTATATGAAGATAAAATTAAAAATAGTGGCTATTTTTTATATAGATAATTTATTTAATAAAAATGTTACACATGTAAATTAATTTATGTAAATGTTATATGTTAGTTTATCTTACTATTAAGAATAGAGGAATGCTACTAAAACTTCATTTAAGTATCTAATGTATTATGGACATTGATTACTCCACAAGTTACTAAAGTTACATTTTGACACTTTTTAATATTAATATAATTCTGAATAAACCTTCATGTTTTTTTTTCTATTTTTTAATTGGGTGATGCTATTGAAATATAAAAATATGATTAAATTTATTAACCTAATGATGCGTTAAGTGACTTAGTCTCAAGTCTTAACGTTACACTTTCAATAATACGATTAATTTATATCATTGTAAGTACATTAATATTTTAGACCATAAATTAGGACGGATTCTTAAATGTCGAAAGCATTACTCCTTTGACCTTTTTCTTTTCTTGAACAGAAGCTTGGGGGAGGGGGTCATAATCAGTTAAACTAATTCCTAATAATCACAACTTGTCATCAAGAGACGACATTAGTATGCAATCGAAGTAAGCAATTAAAATGATTGTCATAAACATATATACAAATAATTTTTGAGTAACTAAACTCTAAAAATGAAAGTTATGCCAGTTTCGAATCACATACATTGACTAAATTCATAAAAAGCTAAATGGTGAGAGAATGAGAATGTAAACCTTATTTTCTTTTTTCTTGGTATTAGAAAACAAATGCTTCCACAAGTGAAAGCCAGTGATTTTGTGCTAGTACTCCCTCTAGTACCCAATTTTTGGCAATGAAATTCATATTGGAAAACCCACGCAATCAAGAAGAGGCGAATTATAAACCGGAATGTTTTGTGTTCGAGTTCCATTTGCAGCAAAAAACCCGGCTTCCAAATGATGCTATGAGCACATGTTACTAGGTGACCATCCAGGCCAGACTTCCTGCCCTACAAATTGTATACTCTAAAGTAAGCTTAATAGCACAGAAAGTGAAAAATTCTAAACCATGATACTTATATATCTTGAATACTTATATATCTTGACCATGATACTAAACCACAGTGAAATCCCTTTCATATCTTCAATATGAGAGAAGTTGTGGTGTAAAGAGCCCATGACAGAAATATAGAAATGATGGTGGTCTTAATAGGCATCCTTCCTTTGTCAGTCCTCAAGACCATGGCTTCATAAATTGGAAAGCAATTCACTATCCCAAAACCAGATATAAACATTTGCACTAACGATCCATCTACATTTCCACCACTGCAAACTTCAAGTAGTCCCCTGACGAACGCGATCAAATTGATTGTCGCTGCCATTGCTAGAGGAACAAACATGGGCGACGGAACACCAAACTCAAAAATCCCTTGATCATACCTTTTGCTCTGCTCATCGTCAACTACTTTGCTGGTGACATTGAATCCATGTGTGGCGACACCCAAGCTTTTGGTCACAAATTCGGTTAATCCAAACAACTGAGATGAGAGTCCTCTTATGAGCCACATCCTCTGATCACTCCACCACCTTTGGATGGTACTATCGGCTAAGATGAAGTCAAGGCAATCTTGTGCATAGGCCCCAAGAAATAAAAAAATGTACAAGACAAACCATGGATCTGTGACCTGAAAGATATTATATTAAAATCATAAAAAAAAACTGTACACATACTGCTGAGTATTGCATATTTATTGTTGAACTAATAAAGTGAAGGGACATTGTGAAATGAGTAGTATAGTATAGGGGATATGTGGGTAATATTTCCTACAAGTGCAGAAGATACCTTAGGAAATATCGAGAAATTACTGAGGAGAGCCAGCTGAGGGAGGAATGCATAAGTGGTGATTGGAATAGAAAATATGGGCCAGAAGGCATAATATGCAAAACACAGACCCATTAGAGGGCCCATGGCCCGGGCACCAAATGTTACGGGGCAATACTTGGAGAAGGCTACCTCAAGGAGGCCGACGGACCACCGCTTGGTCTGGCTTAGCACATCATTGAGAGAGATAGGGATATCCCCCAAAAATGCCGGCCGATCAGGGTGGCAAAATACTGAGTTCCAACCCTCGCATTGCAGTCGATATCCCGTGTAGTAGTCCTCCACCAAGGATCCATATCTGAAGCCCATCTGGCTCATGAAAGCACAAAGTTAGCAATAAACTAATAATACCAAAGCTTAAAATATCCCATTGAAAATTAAGCACTAATAGAAATACAAATTCTAACGAGTTGGACAAATTGAGAGGCCAACCCAAGTTATAAGATTTGAAACAAGGATTGACTCCTCTGCATCACTAAGTCTTCAAAATAGTGAATTAATATGATTTGATATAAAGTTAATAAGCTTACCTTGGAACCCCAATTGGTCTGGTTTTCAAAATTGCAACCAGCTACAAGATGCGCTAGTGCCAAAATAGGTTGGGCCTTGATGGGCTTTTCCACGACGTGGTCTGGGCTCAGTTCAGGTAATTCAGGTGGGAGAAATGACGATGGAGCACCAAAAAAAACCCGACGCCGGAAAAAACATCCTGTTCCAACATAATTAGGCCCGGAGAGCCCATCCATTCCAACTGGTTGGACTTTAAACTCACGTTTGAGGTCGCATGCATAGATATCGGCTTCGTTCAGGCCATGAAAGCGTTGGGGAAACTGAATGTACCCCAAGTTGGGCCGACTTGCGGAACCGATAAGGTAGCATAACACACGGTGAGGTGTTTGGCTGTCATTGGAGTACATGTCACAGTCCAGAGTCAAGATGACGGGTGAATTGGTCATGATGGCAGATACTCGGAGCTTCAATACACAAAAAACCAAAAAAACAAAAAAAATTGGATTTGAAAAGGTTTGCAACGGAGACAAGCAAGATGATTTAAAAAGTTTTGGATTGCGCTTTGTACCAGGGCATTGAGGGCGCCAGCCTTAAAATAATGTGGGGAAGCTTTGCTTTTCTGCCTCGATACGTATATAAGATTAGGCATAGATTGGCCTGTGTTGTCTTTGTCTTTTTTCATCTCTAACAAAACCTGTTTGAGTAGTTGCATGCCACGTAAATGAAGAAGGTGACATTACAACATGAAATTTATATATATGTAATATTATTGTCTTTGAAAACATAGATTGATGATATTATATCATTCTCGAGTATTGAGCCGTAGCACTATCCTGTTTATTTTTTCAGGTGATCCAGTTTTGAGTGGAAGGAACCTGGATGGGAGAGAGGAACCTGGATTACGGAGGGATGGTCTTGACGAGTGAATCCTTGTGTCCATTTGTTAAAAGCTTCACGCTCTTCTTCACTGCTAACATGCTGGTCGCCGACTTTACCTGTTCCAACCACAGTCTCTACCCCAATCTTCATGCTTTCATACATCATCTGTTACATACATGGATCAAGATTCAGAGGTACTGATATCAATATGATCAAGGTCATTAGTAGCTCTACCAACAAGCTTTAATTTATCAGTACTAAACTATTCATTGGACTGTAAATGGTGATCTTGCTCAAAATAGTTGAAACCGAAAAAGTTGTTGTATATCCACTAGTTTTTTTACTCATGACTTTGACGTTGATATTATCAATTGCGACTATCCCTGTCGGAAGATCATATTCTGCAATAAAAGTTATAAAAATTTGGTTACATAATCAAACGAATGATTAATAGATGACAGATAATTTGATTAATTGTATAAAAAAAGACATTTTTCCAATGATATTGATAATAAAGTTATATGAAGTGTTTTCAAAATATGCAAACTCCTTGGAGTTAATTGTAAATAGCTATAATTAGCCCCATTTTTTTTAAAGAGTTATAATTAATCGCTTTTTTTTTTTGTAGTTTTTTTGTATGCATAGACTATGTATACAGTCTTTTGGTGATTTTGTATTCAACGAATTTTGACCTAACAAATATGATATTTAAAATATAAATGTATCACAATTTTTTTTTATTGGAAGTAAAAAAATTAAATTTTGTAGTTAGAGTTCGCCTGCTCTAAAATTTTTTTTGGCTCCGTGGTATGTTCTTGACCAAGACTCCAATAATTCTTCGCGCTTGTGTGTGTTTTTTTTGATCCGAAACGATAATCTTTTTGTATTTTTAGTCATCATCTTGGAGAGTAATTGAGAAAAAGTCTAGAGCAACCCCCTCTATTCATTATAATTCAAAAGAGTATGCCAAACTAAATAGTGGGCATTCCTATGAATCCAAGTTACATCAAAAGAAGAAAAGTTTCGCACACGCTCAAAAGAAGAATAGAGACAAGAAGATAGTAAATGGCCCCACCACCACTTCCACTCGTACCCTTGCAGTCTCTGAATTGATAGGTTTGGAATTGCTATAAGTATTCAACAAAAATTTATATATAAACAAAGAAAAATAGTGTTTGAATTTAATTTAAAAATATAATTCAATACAATTATTAAATCGGAGAACTTCAGCATGTGGTGGAGCCCGGCATAGCTATCAATATCATTAGGTATAACATAGTTCAGCATGATGGTCCAAAATCTGAAACTCACTCTAATTTAGGTGAATTTCTTTTCCACGGACAAGAAAATTATGTGGCTAAACCGTGCTCGAGTGTTCTATTATTAAGTGATGACGTGTAAATCTATTTAAGTTTTTTAAGTTCAAGTTTCTTTACGAGTGATTGTATACTCCCAAAATACAAATCATAGTCATGATTTTGTATTATAAAAAATTCTGGATTTTTAATTATTTACTTATTATGAGATATATGATACGAATATAATGATAACTCTAAAAATTAGAATACGGGTATATGTTTAATAATTAAATATATTTTATATTTTTATTATTGCATGATATATAGTTGTTGAAATTTTGAATATATTTTAAATACTTAATATATACACATACTTAAAAAAATCACATTGAGCCTGAGCCCAATTGAAAATAAAAGAAAAAGATCATTAGAATTAATAATTAAAAAACGAAGAAATGTGGCAGACAAGATGATAAGGTAATCCCACGACTAGATTGATACGTTGACACGTGGCCAATGAACAACTCTTTCCTATCGCGTTCTTGACTTCTGATTTATGAAATTTGGGTTAGGAGAACTGTGCCAGTACGGGAGTTTGGCTAACGTTGATGACACCCTTGATCAAATGCACCTCGTGGCTTAGCAAATGATTTTATTAAATAAGGGATACATATTCGACGTATAAGATGCGTATTTCGGCATAGTGCATATCCGATACGGATAGCACACCCTCTTTGACGATCGGTGCTTCATATTCTAAACATCATTAGGCTGTCTGTTAGATCTGGTTAAGGGCGTGTGACCAACTAAAAGAACCTATCTGTGAAGTTTTAAGGAATATCGAAGAAATCTAAGCTTGACCCGAACTGTCCAAACAGACACCGATAGATTAAACAATTATTCTTTTACGCCATACCACGAAGATTTACATTTCTTTAGTATCAACGGGTATTTGGTCAGACGGTACTCTTTATTTTATAAACATTTTGGAGAGGTAAAGATTTAATTATCCCTTCCCTCCCCCTCTTAAAAAAAAAAAATTAGTTCTGCGAGGGTTATTTTTCTCCCATATTTGATGTTGTTATGATTACTCTTAAAGCTGTAGCCTTAGTTGCTTGCTCAACATCAAAACAGGGAAATTGAAAGTTCAAAACTAGCTATATGTGTGTGTGTGTGTGTATTCACAAAGATATACAAGTGATATACACAGTACACACAGACAAGAAGCACTAAACGGAAAATGGAATTGGAAAAAGGCCAATAGGAAAGGAAAAAGGAATAAAAACATTAAATAAGTTCAATGTAAAACTCAAACGGATGAACACAAAAATATAAATATTCAATAAAGAGTGAAGATTTATCGCTTAATGAAGAATTCACCTTGATTTTATCTATCTCTGAACTCCGAGGGTGGTTTGATCTGAAATAAGCTTCTGGACACCTATCTACGATGTTATTTTGCCGACAATAGGGTAACCAGTGCTTCCCAAACTTTGCCGCCTCCATTAAAGCAAAGAGAGTAAGCTCTGAGCCTCCATCGTCTGATACATACACTGAAAGCTTCTCCGTTGGGTAGTCATAAGCCATCACCGACAAGGTCGTGTTGACGACGGTCATCGGCGGCTCTTTGTACGGATCTGCAGTGCATATAAAGATGTCCATCGCCGGAAAATCCTTCCGGTCAACGACTTTCTCAAGGTTTTCAGGGAATTGTTGGCGATGGATTGGGCGCATGCGAAAGGCCTGTGAGGCGGACCACATGAATCCCAGAAGAATATCAGAGATTAACATGGATATGGATATAAAGAAGGAGACTAAGGTGGTGGAGTGGAGAAGTGTGAGTACATGGTGGTAGAGCAGAGCAAAGAGGGCGATGGTGTAAACTCCGGCGAACAAACGGTTGAAGGGTGTGCGACGCATACATCTATGTGTGTGAAGAGTAGACTTGGAGAGGGTGCTCTCCATTTCTCTTTGCTTGCGCTGTTTGTTGGGGATGACATTATTTATTTATAAGACTTTTTTTGTAAAAAGGTCTGTAGCTCCGTTTGGAAAGGAGAATTGAAAGTAGGGAATGGAAAGTAGGGGAATATATTTTTTATCCTTCAAAGATGAAAAATAGGAAATATACACCTTGTTTTCTTTGTGTTTGGTTGGATGGATGAAAAATAAAAATGACAATTGTTTTTTGTGCTAGCTGAGATTAGAGGTGACAATTAAGTCGTGTTGTGTCGTGTCAAATTTGTGTTGAGTAATTATGGGTTTATGTCAAATATTAATCAAACCTAATTTAACTCATTTAATTAATTGGGTCGTGTCGAGTTACGAATTGATTTTTTTATTTTCGTATCGAGTTTAAGGCGTGTCATCGTGTTGAGTCGAAAGTTTTTACCTTTAGTTAAAATAGAAAAAATATTTTTTTTAATTTAAAATTTTTGTTTTTATTTTTTTGTTTTTAATTTTTTTTTAAATTTAAATAATAAAACAGAGTGAGTTTGAATTTTATCTCATTCATATTTTCCCCCTCAAAACTATCACCGATCAGTTACTTCACTCATTATTCATTTGTTAGACTCAAACTTCAAATCACATCACTCATTTTATCACATATTTAATCATTTATATATTTTCTTCTTAAAAATATCACACCACTCATTTTTATCATATATTTAATTAATTTGTAGTTAATATATTTTGAAAAAATTTAATATAGTAGGATCAATTTTTTGGACGCTCGAATTTTATATTTTATTGTGTCTTCAGGCACGAGTTATGACTCGTATATATATATTTTACCATTGTATTTTTATATATAATTAGTGTATACATAATATACGCATATATAAAAAAATATATAGATAAATAAGATATATCTCAACACAAATAATTAACTTTCCATCTACTTTCCTTCCGATTTTGGAGGGATTAATTTTGGTGAGTTGGAAGGAAAGTTAATCCATCCACTTTTTCATTCTTCCTACTTTCCTTCCTTACCAAACATAATGTTTTGTTTATCCTTTTACCTTTTCATCCTTCCACTTTTTCATCGTACCAACGGAGCATAGGCTTGGAGGTACCGAAAACTCTCTCTCTCTGTTTTTTTTTTAATTTAAAAACTACTTATAACACCGCATGGTGTAACATAAAATTCAAGTACAAAAAAAATTGATCATATTATATTAAATATTTTTTAAAAAAAAATTTCTTCTTTAATTATATAATTTAAAATTAATTTATACGAATTATTTTTTAAAAAAATCAATAAAATTTTTTCAAAAGACATAATTTCAAGAAAATATTAATATGTGTATATTATCGTATATGAATAATGTCTAAATTAAATTATTCAATTTATGATAAAAATAGGTGATGTGATAGAAATTAGCAAAAAAATATATGACGATAAAATTTAAAATGGTAGCTATTTTTTTTTATATAAATAATTTATTTAATAAAAGTGTTATACATGTAAATTAATTTATGTAACTATTATATGTTAGTTTATAATCCTTATAGTCAAGGGACACAAATAACTCAAAATTAATTCTTCAACCAATTTTGTTTTTAAATTTTATACCCAAATGTGTCTTCACACCCAAAAAATTACTGTTTGAGTATCTTAATATTAAGAATACCGCTAATGAAACTTAATTTAAGAGTCTAATGCATCATGAAGATCGACTACTCGGCAAGTTACTAAAGTTACATTTTGACACCATTTAATATTAATATAATTCCGAACAAGTTCGTCTTCATGTTTCTTTCTCTATTTTTTACTTGGATGAGACTATTGGAATATGAAAAAATGATCAAAGTTATTGATCTAATGATGCATTAAGTGACTTAATCTCAAGTTTTAGCGTTACACTTTCAATAATATGATTGAATTATATCATTGTAGGCACATTATTTAGACCATAATTTAGGACAGATTCTTAAATGTCGAACGCATTACTCCTTTGGCCTTTTTCTTTTCTTGAACAGAAGCTTGGGGGAGGGGGTCATAATCAGTTGAACTACTTCCTAATAATCACAACTTGTCATCAAGAGACGACATTAGCATGCAATCGAAGTAAGGAATTAAAATGATTGTCATAAACATATATATAAATAATTTTTGAGTAACTAAAATCTAAAAAAAAAATTGTGTCAGTTTTGAATCACATCCATTGACTAAATTCATAAAAAGCTAAATGGTGAGAGAATGAGAATTTAAACCTTATTTTCTTTTTCTTTGGTATTAGAAAATTAATGCTAGCCAGTGACTTTGTGCTTGTACCCTCTAGTACCCAAATTTTGGCAGTGAAATTTATATTGAAAAACGCGCGCAATCAAGAAGAGGCGAATTATAAACCTGAATGTTTTGTATTCGAGTTCCCTTTGCAACAAAAAACCCGGCTTCCAAATGATGCTATATTTTTGATAAATGAGCACATGTTAGACAGATGACCATCTAGGCCAGACTTCCTGCCTTACAAATTGTATACTACAAAGTAAGCCTAATAGCACAGAAAGTGAAAAATTCTAAACAATGATACTATATATCTTGAAAACTCCAACAGTGAAATCCCTTTCATATCTTCAATATGAGAGAAGTTGTGGTGTAAAGAGCCCATGCTAGAAATATAGAAATGATGGTGATCTTAATAGGCATCCTTCCTTTGTCAGTCCTCCAGACCATGGCTTCATAAATTGGAAAGCAATTCGCTATCCCAAAACCAGCTACAAACATTTGCACAAATGATCCATCTAAATTTCCACCAATGTAAATTTCAAGTAGTCCCCTGAGGAACGCGATCAAATTGATTGTTGCTGCCATTGCTATAGGCACAAACATGGGCGACGGAACACCAAACTCAAAGGTTCCTTGATCATACCTTTTGCTCTGCTCATCGTCAACAACTTTGCTGGTGACATTGAATCCAAGTGTGGCGACACCCAAGTTTTTGGTCACAAACTCAGTTAATCCAAACAAGTAAGATGAGAGTCCCCTTATGAGCCACATCCTCTGATCACTCCACCACCTTTGGATGGTACTATCGGCTAAGATGAAGTCAAGGTAATCTTGTGCATAGGCCCCAAAAAATAAAAAAACGTACAACACAAACCAAGGATTCGAGACCTGAAAGATACTTTATTAAAATCATAAAAAAAAAAATTGTACACATAGTACTGAGTATTGCACATTTATTGTTGAACTAATAAAGTGAAGGGACATTGTGAAATGAGTAGTATAGTATAGGGGATATGTGGGTAATATTTCCTACAAGTGCAGAAGATACCTCAGGAAATATCGAGACATTATTGAGGAGAGCCAGCTGAGGGAGGAATGCATAAGTGGAGATTGGAATAGACCATATGGGCCAGAAGGCATAATGTGCAAAACACAGAGCCCTTATATTGCCCATGGCCCGGGCACCAAACGTTAGAGGACAATATTTGGAGAAGGCTACCTCAAGAAGGCCAACGGACCACCGCTTGGTCTGGCTTAGCACATCATTGAGGGAGATCGGGATATCCCCCAAAAATGCCGGCCGATCAGGGTGGCAAAATACTGAGTTCCAACCCTCACAATGCAGTCGATAACCTGTGTTGTAGTCCTCCACCAAGGATCCATATTTGAAGCCCATCTGCTCATAAAAGCACAAAGATAGCAATAACCCAATAATACCCAAGCTTACAATATGCCATTGAGAATTAAGCAATAATAGGAATGCAATTCGAACTTGTTGGATAGATTGAGAGGTCAATCCAAGTAAGATTTAAAACTCGAGTTAACCCATACATCCCTAACTTCAAAAAAACGCTTACCTTGGAACCCCAATTGGTTTGGTTTTCATAATTGCAGCCAGCTACACGATTGGCTAGTGCCAAAATTGGTTGGGCCTTGATGGGCTTCTCCACAACGTTATCCGGGCTCAGTTCAGGAAATTCAGGTGGGAGAAATGCCGATGGAGCACCAAAAAAAACCCGACGACGGAAAAAGCATCCTGTTCCGACATAACTAGGCCCGGAGAGCCCATCCATTCCAACTGGATTGACTTGAAACAAACGTTTGAACTCGCATGCATAGATATCGGCTTCATTCAGGCCATGAAAGCGTTGGGGAAACTGAATGTATCCTAAGTTTGGCCGACATGGCGAACCAGTAAGGTAACATAACACACGGTGAAGTGTTTGGGTGTCATTGGAGTACATGTCACAGTCCAGAGTCAATACGATGGGTGAATTGGTCATGATGGCAGATACTCGAAGCTTCAGTACACCAAAAAAAAAACCGAAGTTAGTATTATTTGGAAGCACTTGAACCAAACACACCATTAGATATACATGCAACGATAGTATTTTTGGAATATTCCATGACATTAATTTTGCTTATATCTAGGTTTGCTATGGAGACAAGTAAGATGATTTAAAAAGTTTTGGATTGCGCTTTGTACCAGGGCATTGAGGGCGCCAGCCTTAAAATGATGTGGGGAGGCTTTGCTTTTCTGCCTCGATACGTATATAAGATTAGGCATTGATTTGTCTGTGTTGTCTCTGTCTTTTCCCATCTCTAACAGAACCTGTTTGAATAGTTGCAGGGCCATGTAAATGAAAAAAATTGGATTAAAGTTGCCATAGCATTTTTATAAACGTCATTGTTAATTGGAGGGGACAAGTTTGGAATTATTAGCCAAAACATGGAGAAAAGTTGGAGGGCCAAAAAAAAATGGTCTGGGGTGGTTTTTGAAATATTTTTAAAAAAATGGTTACTAAACATAATTTTTGACAAAAAATTATGATGAGAAAATTTGATAGTGATACCTCAAGGTTAAGGAATGTCATGGTTCTTCTGTTTTGGAATAAGAGGATGAATGCTAGTGACTCACGTCATTAAGTTCAACATGAAATTTATATTAATGTAGCATTGTAATTGTGTTGAAAACACATATGATTGACGATATTATATAATTTTCGAGTATTTAGCACTATCTTGTTATTTTTTCTCAAGCGATCCCGTAAGAATAGTTTTTAGTGGAAGGAATGCAGTAGGTGGATGGCAAAGAAGAACCTGGATTACGGAGGGATGGTCTTGACGAGTGAACCCTTGTGTCCATTTGTTAAAAGCTTCACGCTCTTCTTCACTGCTGACATACTCGTCGCTGACTTTACCTCTCTCAACCACAGTCTCTACCCTTATCTTCATGCTTTCGTACATCATCTGTTACATGCATGGATCAAGATTCAGAGGTACTGATATCAATATGATCAGGGTCATTAGCAACTCTACCAACAAGCTTTAATTTATCAGTACTAAACTATCCGTTGGACTGTACAATACGAATTTTAGCACTGTATCGGCATATTGTTTCTACACATTAGTGATTACGGGAGGGCTTAAGCTATCCGCCCTTGGTTTATATTTGTGTATCTTTGGTTGGATCAGGAATTTAGGATGCTCTCGATTTTAGAATTTATCAACATGGATCTACTTAGATAATCGGATGTCAAATTTTATACCATCACTAGTTGTTATGAGTAAATGATCAGCAGTTGAATTTTACTTATCAATTCCAAGGGTGTCATGACGGCAACTGGGAATCAGATGACCGTGTCATTCTCTACACCCCTGAAAAATTATTTTATCCTCCTATATCTTTCTTTTTGTCTTGCCTCGAGAGCTTGCGGGTTTGTGGGCACAGCTGAACAAGGCCCATATTCAAATACTCGATCGGTGATTGACTTAACGTAGGCAACGACTTGAAAGAAGTAACAAGGGATCAAGAGGTAGACAATTGAGCACGGCGGAGATAAACAACATCGCACCGAGAGAGAAAGACCTATATGATTTTTTCAGAGAGAAGTTGGGATAGACGGAGAGAGAGAGATCATTTGATTCAAATCTCATTAACTTGTAGAATGTTTCTACAAAAGTTTAGCATTTGGGTTATGTTGAAAAATAAACTTGCGTTTAGATTTTTATTATATTAGTAAGATGTGTTAATTTGGTGTGTGTTAGTGGATAAGAAATTTGCAAGTAGTGGAAGACAATATTATTCGCATTAATTACCCAAGTAATGGTGTCTTAATTTTTTATGAGTTAGAAGAGTTAGCGGGTATAGTGGTGTATAAATGTAATGTTAGAAGTTGTGTATGACTTACATAAATATGACATACAGTCTAGTATTACAAGTAAAGTTGAGTAGATGTTGAATAGTCTAATTTGAGTGTGTGATTGCAATCAACTTGTATGAAAATTATTTTTCGAATATTAATATCCTCCTCCATTTATTTATATTTTATTTCTAATTCTCTTGACTCCAACAAAATGATATCAAAACCATTTTCTAATTGACATAAATTCAACGGGCTCTTTGACTGTTATGGGTTTTTTGCTTTCTAATTTTATTATGCAACGGCAAATTTGAAAGATGGCAGCTTCTTCATGAAATAACAATTCTAACAAGGGATGTTAGAGTATTTTAGAATTTGAAAAGGATATCCTTTCTATTAACAACTTACCCTATCTCAAGAAAGATATTGGTGAGTGATATAATTTTGGACCTTAGTCAGTTTGGCCAGATCTTACGATGCTGGCGTGTCCCAGGCTTTTTGGACGTATGTTCTTGACCAAGACTCCAATAATTCTACTTGTCTGTGTGTGCTTGTGATCTATACACTTAAATTATAGCACGAATAGAGACAAGAAGATAGCAAATGGCCTCGCCACTTGCACTCGTCCCCTTGCAGCCTCTGAATTGATAGATTTGGAACTACTATAAGTATTAGACAAAAAATTATATTATACATAAACGAAATAAAAAAATCACCGCAGATTGTCAACAAAAGTTATTATCTCAATCACTTGTCTCCCCTTTGCTCAAATCAACGGTGCAAACATGGTGCTGTGGGTCACGGTTGATATTTTCTAATTGCTGGTTGACCAAAGACTTGATCAGATAAAAATATATATAGGTCTATCGTCATCCATGACTTGAGGAAAAGATCCAAGAAACTGTTGTGCTTTTTGATTGGCTTCTGTATTAAAATATAGGAATGGCCGGTCTGTGATGTAATATATATATATGGTTATAGGTCTATCCTCATCCATGACTTGAGAAAAAGATCCAAGAAACTGTTGTGCCTTTTTGATTGGCTTCTGTATTGAAATATAGGTGTGGCCAGTCTGTGCTGTAATATATAATTTTTCTTGGATTGCGTCAAGAAACTTTCGACCTTTGGGTTTGTAGATTTTGTTTTGGCATCTAGGCCGGCATTCAGGGATCTAAATCATTGCAGCCTGTTAAATAGTTGTGAGTTTAAAGATTGAGTGAAGTCATTTTCAATTTAACAGTTATAATTGATTACGTCTTTAAATTAGCTCCAAATAAATACAAAACTTATTCTAAATTCGGTTGTATTCGTTTTCACAGAACAAAAAAACTATGTGGCTACACCATGCTTGAATGTTCTATTATCAAGTGATAACTTGTAAATCTGTAAGTTTTTCAGTTTTAAGTTTCTTTGCAAGTGATGTACTCCCAAAATACAAATCATGAGTTTGTATTATACAAAAATCTGAATCCCTAATTCTTTACCCATTCTAAACATCATTAGACCGTCTGTTAGATCTGGTTAAGGGATTGTGACCAACTAAAAGAAGCTATCTTTGAAGCTTTTAGGAATATCGACGAAATTTAGGCTTGACCATTAACTGTCCAACAGACACACACAGAGACCTGACGTAACACACAATTTTACACAATACAATGAAGATAATAACATTTCTGCAAGAGTATTTATTTTCACTCATATTTGTTGTTTTTATGATTACTCTTAAAGCAGTAGCAGCTCAAAATCAATACAAAGAAATCGGGAGTACAAAGCTAGCTATATGTGTGTGTGTGTGTGTGTGTGTGCGCACAGTAAAAACAGACAAGAAGATCTTTAGTATGTAGTGGAAAATTCTAATAGTATGCAGAAAAAACTTCAAGAACTAAATGGAAAATAGTATTAGAAAAAGGCCAAAAGGAAAGGAAAAAGAATCAAAACATTAAAATTAGTCCAATGCAAAACTCAAATAGATGAACACAATTATTGCTTAATGAAGAATTCACCTTGATTTTCTGTGTCTCTGAACTCCTAGGGTAGTTTGATCTGAAATAAGCATCTGGACACCTCACTACGATGTTATTGTTCCGACAGTAGGGTAACCAGTGCTTCCCAAACTTTGCAGCCTCCATAAAAGCAAAGAGAGTGAACTCCGAGCCTCCATCGTCTGAAACATACACCGAAAGCTTCTCCGGTGGGTAGTCATAAGCCATCACCGATAAGGCCGTGTTCACAACGGTCATCGGCGGCTCTTTGTAAGGATCTGCAGTGCATATAAAGATGTCCATCGCCGGAAAATCCTTCCGGTCGATGACTTTCTCAAGGTTTTCAGGGAATTGTTGGCGAAGGATTGGGCGCATGCGAAAGGACTGTGTGGTGGACCACATGAATCCCAGAAGAATATCAGAGATTAACATGGATGTGGATATAAAGAAGGAGACTAAGGTGGTGGACTGGAGAAGTATGAGTACATGGTGGTAGAGTAGAGCAAAGATGGCGGTGGTATAAACTCCGGCGAACAAACGGTTGAAGGGTGTGCGACGCATACACCTAAGTGTGTGAAGAGGAGACTTGGAGAGGGTGCTCTCCATTTCTCTTTGCTGCGGCTGTTTGTTGGGGATGATCTAAGGTCTGGTTACTCTAGTATGAATGACACTATTTATAAGAGTTTCAGGTACCCAAAAACTGTTTTTTTGATAATTACAAATATTTTTTATTTAATAAAAATTTTACACATGTAATTTTATTTATGTAATTATTATATGTTAGTTTATAATCCTTACAATCAAAGGACACAAATAACTCAAACTCAATTCCACAACCAATTTTTGTTTCTAAATTTTTTGAGTATCTTAATATAAAGAGTAATTAATACTGTTGAAACCTAATTTAAGAATCTAATACATTATAATCAGCAGTTGGTTTCATTTGAAATTTCAAAAAGGCTGTCTAGGATAGAAGCACTTTAGGAAATTATACTTTCTAGAATATTTTTTAGTATTTTGATGTAAATAATGCATTAGAATTTTTTTAATTTTTTTTTTTTGCATTGTAATTAGATTGTATTGAGGATATAAAGTACATACGTCCCCCTAGTTAGATACAATTTAATTTTTAATCAATAAAATTTTTTGCACTGTCAAAATTCTCCAAAATATATATATATATATATCTTTGAATAAGCCTCCATGTTTCTTTCTTGTTTTTTACTTGGATGATGGTATCAAATTTCTTGACCTAATGATGTATTAGATGACATAGTCTCAAGTTTTTAAAGTTACACTTTAAATAATGTTATTGAATTATGTCATTCAAAGTACATTATCAAAATATAAATTAATACAAATTTTTAAGTAACTCCTTCACTTTGGCCTTTTTGTTTTCTTAAACATAAGCTAGGATTCTGATCAAAAATAAAAATAAAAAATAAGCTAGGGTTCATGATCAGTATGCAATCGAAGCAAATAATTAAAATAAATAATTTTAGAGTAACCAAACTCTTAAAATGAAAGTTGGGTCAATTTGGAACCACGTGGATTGACTAAATTCATACAAAACTAAATATTAGTTAATCCTCCCTTTTATATGAAAATTTTGAGAAAATTTGATGAAAATAGCATTAGCTATTGTGTAAAGAGGTTACCACTATACCACCAATAGTAGTTGATGGGTTAAGCCCAAATAATTCAATTTATGTGTTAAAGTCCAACCCCAGTTGAGGAGTCCAACCTCATTGTGATTCCACCAAATCCAAGACAGTCCAAGGCCGATTAGACTTCTTGCTTAGCACGTCACCAAAAGGAGAGCACGGGAAGCTTATCTGCACCACCAAAGGAAACGGTCCAAATCCACCAAGTCCAAGACAGTCCAAGGCCGGTTAGACTTCTTGCTTAACACGTCACCAAGAGGAGAGCACGGGAAGCTTATCTGCACCACCAAAGGAAACGGTCCAAATCCACCAAGTCCAAGACAGTCCAAGGCCGGTTAGACTTCTTGCTTAGCACGTCACCAAGAAGAGAGCACGGGAAGCTTATCTGTACCACCGAAGGAAACAGTCCAATCTTTGACCACGTTCCATGAAGAACTCCCCAACCTCCTCCTTACGTTGAGGATAAGTCGTGATCTCCACAAAGGATAATCTCTGAGCTGCGATAAAGAAGCCTTGAGGATATGTCATGATCTCCACAAGAATGATCTCTTAGCTACAATAAAATAGCTCCAATCTGGTAGAGAAAGGGATCACGCCCCACCAGAGACTTACAGAAGACGAACCGACTACCGGAGATTACTATTTTCTTTGATTCTTCATTCTCTCTCTCTCAAAGCTTGTATCTCCATTCTCCATACCTTTGAATCAATAAAATACCCGGCAACTGAAGCCATTGAAGAGTGGACGTAGGTCGAATTGACCGAACCACTATAGTTTGTGTCTTCTTAATTTTTTTCATTGATTTCATTGCATTTATTACCTACACTTGACAGGTGGTGTGCAAAACCATTTTTGTGCATCATCAGTTTGGCGCCGTCTGTGGGAAATCGACAAAATTCTCACTCCTGAACATTACATCCATTGAACTAATGGCGATCACTACCCGATCCATGAACCAACACGAAAACAACCCTCCACGAGAGGAGGAGGTTGCTCCCCCGCCTATCAACCCTGTTCCGGATACTCCAGCCCCGAATCCCCAACAAATATTGGAGACCATGCAGCAACTGTTGCTCAAAACCAACAGTTACTGCAACTCATACTTGCTGGACAAGGAGGAGCACCACACGGAGGTGCACAACATGGAGGACCCCAAGTGGAGCACCACACGGAGGTGCACAACATGGAGGGCCCCATAGAGGTGCACAACATAGAGCACCCCAAGGAGCTCCACATCCTGGACATCAAGGAGCACCACGCCCTGTTGCTCCACGCCCGGGTGCCCCATTGGGCACCCCACTTCAGGAAGCCCAACATGAGGGAGCTGCACCTCCCCCTCCCCTTGCTTTCCAGGGAGAAGACCCTTATCTCCAGGAGGATGAGGGTGAAAACCAAAGCATGGGCATGGAAGCCACTTCCATGATCATTCCATAGGAGCCCCCAATCATTGGGACGAGAAGATAAAGGAGGTACAGAATCAACTCGGTGATGTCTTCAACGTCATGAAGGCACAAGGACCCGAGACTGTTGACCACCTGGTAAGGCGTACTGATACCCCTTTCAAACCTGATGTAGCAAACTACCCCCTCCCTCAGAAGTTCAAAATGCCATCTGTGGAGACCTTTGATGGAACAAAGGATCCACTGGACCACCTCGACACTTACAAGACCTTGATGCAATTGCACAACGTACCAGACGAAATCATGTGCAGGGCATTCCCAACCACATTAAAGGGGTCTGCCCGACAGTGGTTTGCTAAGCTCTCCCCCGCCTCTATTACCTCTTTTGCCGAGCTTAGCAGATCATTCGTCTCACACTTCATAGGAGGTCGTCGCCACCAGAAGCCAGTTACGCACCTGCTTAGTATAAAGCAGGACCGCGAGAGAGCCTGAGGAGTTACCTCACTCGTTTTAACGAGGAGGTACTCCAAGTTGATGAGCCTGACGACAAGGTGACGATGACCGCCTTCTTGGGTGGCCTCCGTTCATCAAGTTTCCTTTTCTCAGTTCTGAAGCGCCCACCGAAGAGCATGCCAGAACTGCTAGCCAAGGCCCAAAAGTACATAAACGCAGAAGACATCACAAGGGCCAGGCGGGGTGAGTCTTCCAGAGCGGGTGAGAAAAGGAAGGAAAGAGAGAAGGACGATAAGAAGGAAACCAGCAACAAATATGGCAGGACAGAGAAAGTCCCTGTCAAGGACCGGCTAGGTCCTGCTCCTCAGAGGAACCGTCAACCTTTCACTCCCCTCAATGCTTCCGTGGAACACATCCTATTCCAGATCCAGGATGACCCGCGATAAAGTGGCCTGGAAAAATGAAGTCTCCTCCAAATCGCAGAAATCCTAACAAGTATTGCCGCTTCCATCGTGACCACGGGCATGACACCGACGATTGCTACAACCTCAAGAGGCAAATTGAGGAGCTCATCCAGCGTGGTCACTTGCGTCAGTACGTTGCTGGAAGGGAACGTGTACCACAACCTCACAACCAGGAAGATCAGCAACCTGTGGGAGAAATCCACACTATCTCAGGGGGACTAGCAGGTGGAGGAGAATCACTTTCCGCAATGAAGGCCCATGCCAGGAAGGCAAGACATGTCTACGAGATGCGCCCATCTAAGGTGCCGAAGCAGGAAAGCGACGAGGTCATATCTTTTTCAAACAAGGACCTGGAGGAAATCCAACACCCCCATGATGACCCCTTGGTGCTCACCATGACGGTGGCCAACTTTCATGTGCACAGGATCCTGGTAGATAGTGGCAGCTCTGCAGATATCCTATTTGCAGAGGCCTATGACAAGCTCAACCTGGGCAGGGAGAGGCTACAGCCAATCAGGTCACCCCTCATTGGATTCTCAGGGGAAAAAGTGTATCCCCTTGGATCCATCACGCTTCCCGTCACCGCCGGAGTAACACCCCGAAGCTCCACAATCATGGTCAATTTCCTGGTAATAGAATGCCCGTCAGCCTACAACATCATATTAGGGCGGCCAGCTCTTAACACATTAAGAGCTGTGCCCTCTACCTTCCATCTCGTTCTTCGCTTTCCAACCTTAAATGGAGTCGGAGAGGTCAAAGGGGACCAAATAACAGCCAGAGAGTGCTATGTATCCTCTATGAAGGCTAGGAAGCCCCAAGAAGCATTGCAGGTTGAGGTCCTTGACCCAAGGGATGACTCCGCAACAGAAAGAGGAGAACCAGTCGAGGAACTCATCCCTGTGGTCTTAGAAAAGGAGCACCCAGACAGAAGAATTTACATTGGCTCTTCCCTTTCTGAAGAGCTGGCTCCCCGTTGATTGAATTTTTGAGCGTAATATGGACATCTTTGCTTGGTCGCATGAGGATCTTGAGGGCATCAACCCGGAAGTAGCTACCCATCGCCTCAATGTCGATCCACGGTACAAGCCTGTTCGCCAAAAGTTAAGGGGAGCCTCCACTGAAAGGGCCAAGCCATGGACAAGGAGATTTTAGAAAGCTGGTTGATAACGGAGCAGTCAGGGAAGTGGCGTATCCAGAGTGGCTCTCCAACGTAGTAATGGTTACTAAGGCTAATGGGAAGTGGCGTCTCTGTGTCGACTTCACAGAACTGAACAAGGCATGCCCAAAAGACAGTTATCCACTGCCCCGGATTGACCTCCTCATCGACGCCACCGCTGGGCATGAGTTGCTCACTTTCCTGGATGCATACTCGGGTACAACCAGATTAGCATGCATCCCAGACCAAGAGAAGACGTCATTCATCACGCCAAAGGGGAAACAACTGCTACAGGGTCATGCCCTTTGGGCTAAAGAACGCTGGAGCAACCTACCAACGGCTGGTGAACAAGATGTTCCAGTCTCAGATCGGGCAAACAATGGAGGTGTACGTGGATGACATGCTGGTAAAGAGCCTTGCAGCAGTAGACCACATTGATCACCTCCAAAAAACTTTCAACGTCCTGAGGTCCTATCACATGAAGCTCAACCTTGAGAAGTGCGCCTTTGGTGTGGGGTCTGGTAAATTCCTGGGCTTTATGGTCAATCAGAGGGGAATTGAGGTGAACCCTGACAAGATCAAGGTCATTCTTGACATGAAGTCACCCTCTTCAACCAAGGAGCTCCAGCCTCAATGGAAGGATCGCAGCATTAAATAGGTTTGTCTCCAAATCTGCAGATAAATGTCTCCCTTTTTTCAAAACTCTCCGAAAAGCCTTTGAGTGGAAACCTGAGGCAGAGGAGGCTTTTCAAAAGCTCAAAGCCTACCTAGCAGCACCTCCCCTCCTGTCACATGCTGCCCCTGGAGAAACTCTCCATCTATACCTTTCTGCTTCCCCATCAGCGGTAAGCTCAGTGCTCGTTAGAAACAACAATGGAGTGCAGAAACCAGTTTATTACGTGAGCAGGGCATACCGGGGGGCAGAGGTCAGATATTCAGCACTAGAAAAACTGGCACTCGCTCTGGTCACGACAGTGAGACGGCTGCGACACTACTTCCA